TTATGTTTTCTAAATTTCAGTTTTCAAGTTTTAAGTTTTAAAATTGCGAGTAATTGAATCATAATAAAGATTTACACTTTCAATTTTATATTTCGAAATCAAAATTGAGAATAAAGACATCACAAACAACGAATTCAGTATTCGTTCTTCAATATTTTCTTGCATTTATTCAACATCAATTTTATACTAATTCTCAGCACTCAGAGAAAACAACAATCGTGAATTGATTCTCTTGCATTTATTGTTATTTTATTCATGTTGAAGAATAAGAACTCCATTGACAATTTGTATGCTTATTAAGCTTTAAAATGAGAATATTTGATGTCATTTTTGAAATTTGGTTATTCTGAGGATTTTTAGTAAATTGTTATGCATTAACTATTAACTATTAACTATCTGAATGATATTGTTAGTGCGCACATTATTCTTATCGAATAACCGAGATTGAACAAAAATTTTTCAAATTTGAACAATTCAGGATGAAAAATTCACATCAAGAAAGAAATGTCTGGAATCATAAAGCTAATATTGAACAATTCCATGCAGATAAGCTTTTTCGACGCAATAATGCTTGGAGTGATAAAACTTTTTAAAATCTTTTGATGAGCTCTGGAACTATTTGGTTCGAAGAGGACTTTCCGATATGACATCATACCGATCTTCTCAATGTAGCATTCGTGAAGTATGATCTTGCTCTGATGGCTCGTACTCCGCGAAACAAAAAATTTGAAATGATGAATTAAAATTGAGAGAAGATGGGAAGTGTTTCGACAGAAAATTTGATAGAAAAGGGTAATTTTTCTTGCAGAAATAGAAAGTATATATTGTAAAAATAGTTACTGTGGAAGTCCCTAGTCCAGGAATACGATTATTTATCTGAAAAAATAAAATAATCGTCTGACAAGGGTAAATTTATTTCCTAACCATTATGTTTAACATAATAAGGACTTCTTTTTTGTATGTTTTTTAAAAATTGTGATGAAGTAAACCTTTGAAAAATTCTCTTAAAATTAAACCCGAATTTAAAAAGAAAATATGGATGTTTTTATAAGTTACATTTATTTATGATTCATAATTTCATTAAATTTTTAATATTTGGATAATTTGCAAATTTCTCAAAATTGCATGCATATATGATCTTCATACTTTAAAATCTTTCTATATATCCACATATCTATTAATATACAAAGTGACAATGAAAATTTCGATATGAAAAACGATTTGAAATATATTTGAGTGTAAAAAGTGATAGATTCGATAACAAACAATACCAATATATTTATTATGCTACATGATATTTACTCACCAAGCCACATGCTCGGGCGTTGAGGTCTGGGGTCGAAACACTTCTTGGGAAGTAAAAAATTTTGAAATAGAGTATGTAAATTTTGAATGCATTACTTACGAATTTATTGTTCAAATATTAATGGTTTCATATAAAGGAATAATAATTTCATGAATCAAATTTAGATTTTCCAAATGTGATTAAAATTTCTTTCATTTTAGACAACATAAGTTACAATTGAATAGTATATCATTATTTCCCTCATTTATTAAAACTTTGACATGTTTATCGTGCCTTCGACAGCTTTGTCACAACAGCAATAAGTATTTCGGGAGACTGTATATTGAAATTTTTATTCAAATGATAAATTATAATTAATTTTACTAATTAATCATATTGAAGACAGATATTTTTTGATAACACGATTTCCGCAATCAAAACATGTGTTTCCATATTTATTCTTTGCTTCTTTGTTAGCTCCAACTGAGATAAGATATTTAACAACTTCAAGATGACTATAAAATGATGCAATAATGAGTGGTGTAAATCCATCATTATTCTTTGCTTCTTTATCAGCTCCAACAGAGATAAGATATTTAACAATTTCAAGATGACCATTTAATGATGCATAAATGAGTGGAGTTCCTCCATTATTATTCTTTGCGTCTTTATCTGCTCCAACTGAGATAAGATATTTAACAACTTCAAGATGACCATTTTCTGATGCTAAAATGAGTGGATTATCTCCATATTTATTCTTTGCTTCTTTATCTGCTCCAACTGAGATAAGATATTTAACAACTTCAAGATGACCATTTAATGATGCATAAATGAGTGGAGTTCCTCCATCATTATTCTTTGCTTCTTTATCTGCTCCAACTGAGATAAGATATTTAACAACTTCAAGATGACCATTTAATGATGCATAAATGAGTGGAGTATATCCATCATTATTCTTTGCTTCTTTATCTGCTCCAACTGAGATAAGATATTTAACAACTTCAAGATAACCATTTTGTGATGCATAAATGAGTGGAGTATATCCATCATTATTCTTTGCTTCTTTATCTGCTCCAACTGAGATAAGATATTGAACAACTTCAAGATAATCATTATATGATGCTCTAATGAGTGGAGTTTCTCCATTATTATTCTTGATTTCGATATCAAAACCATGTTCAACAAGGCGTTCAATAAGTCTGAGTTTTCCATCTTGTGCAGCTTTATGAATAATATAAAATCCGTCTGAATCTTTTGTTTCTGCAAGTTCATTGAATGCAATTGATGACATAATTCGATTATCGTCTTTTGATATTTCATCTAAGAATTTATATATATTCGAGAAATCGTTTGATTTCTCTAGTTCAGAAATATTTTGTAAAAATTCGTTTTGAATATTGTAACGAATATAATTATGTTTTGGAGGTCTTGATCGCAATAATGAATCATGGAATGAGCTGATGATGATATTATAGTTATTTTCGTTACTCAAGTTTTGAATTTCATCAATTATTTGTTTGCTGCAAAACTCTAATCGAATGTGTTCAATCAGTTGATAAAATGTTTCACTTTCTCTTGCAAGACAAATGACAAATTTCGCTAATGAATCTTCATCTTTGATTTTCAGTTTATCACTCTTGATTATTCTTTGGACAATGTCAAATCCAACTTTCTTAGATATCGTCTTGAATTTATTCTCATCGATTTCAAAGAAATGTGAAGATATGAAATCTGAACATTCATTTGTCTTTTCTTCTGAAGATATGTCGAAATAGAATTCGAGTAAATCAAAACAATTATTTATATCAATATTTGTATTATCGATGAAATGATTTTTGTAAAATTCAATTAGATCATTAATATCAAGTTTCACTCCAATATGAAAGAGATCTTTACAAACACTTTCGTCGCATTCAACGTCTCTTTTCCGATATTGAAGGATGTCTTTCAAGATATTGTATGTATCTTGCGTTTCTATTTCTGTAGTAATATCAATATTGACATTATTATTGTCTAAAAGATAGTTTGCATAAAACATTTTTGAAATCGCAACTGCGAAGTATTTGTTAATGATGAATTCGACGTTATTGATTGTTAGAGTAACCTTTTCGCACGTTTTGCAGTCATTAATCCTCTGAAGGATTTGATTCTTAAGTTGAAACAATACCATTGAAGAAAAATTGCTGGATAATTTATAATTTTTTTTTCTAAAATTTTTGAATGAAATTGACCATATTTCCTCAAGTCCTGAAATATCAAATACGTCGTAAAGATCAAATCCAGGATCATCAAATATTTGTGTTAATCAACCATCCATCAAATAAAAAAAAATTGAAACTATGTGAATTCTAGTGCTAATGGAATCTATTAGATGGAGTTTTCGTTTGCAATAAGGGTTTCGTTTTGCGAAAAAAACGTACAATACGCAATTTCGCTAAAAAAACATTTAGCTAGCAATTTCGACCTTTGACTCCACTCAAGACGTCACTTTTTTAATTTTGCGGTATCATATTTTTGGGAAATCTTTATGAATATTATATAAAAAGTCTCTTTAATATCTATATTTCATATTTTTATCGATTTTTAAAGTTTTTGCGAAAAGTATTCAATTATTTTTGCTATTTGGTCGGGTAAATGTCAGATTTGCGACATTTTCTGATATGATATTCAGATTCTACGTTGATAATAATGCTTATAGAACCCTCTTGCTATTGTGTCAAAATTGCGAAACCGATAGCAAAAATATCTCGCAATATCAAAATTGAGATATTGAGTGAATTATGCATTATAGAGATTAAAAATCTTATTTGTGAAAACATCTCATCAGTTTCTAGCTAATTCAAAAATCTTTACTATCTTATTCGATTAAAATGAAAAGGGAATAGTTTCATTATGCTTTAAATGATAGCCTTATAATATAATCATAGTTTTCGCTCAATATGCAGCATTTTTTTTTCGAAATCTATGGTCAATGTCCTAAATACTGATTGCTTTGCATTCATATCTCTTACATTTTCTATACCCACATCACTATTCATTGCTATTCCTATCTTTTTCATTTTTGTTTGTTTCTCATAATTTCTCAAAAAACATGATAACTTGATATTTGTAAATATCATACTTTATAACGTAAATAAGAACTTGACCTATTAAGAAAAGCAGTAATGAAAAGAAAATCTGAAATTCATAAAAATTACAAGTTTCTGATGACAATTAGCTTAATTAAACCAGGTACAAGATTATATAATTGTATTTTCTATCCAATTATCCATATAATATCTTATCCAGAAAAAATAACTTGATCAATACCAAATGATTTTTTAACTAGTAAATAAAGTATTTTCTTTACACACACATTGTATATCATAGTTTTTTTTTGGTTTCGCAAAACATCCAAAAACAAATATGCTATAAAAGTGACAATTTTAGCAAAACGAAACCCTTATTTGCAACCATTTTTCAAAAATATATTTGATTTGAAAATTAATTTTACACAATTTCTCGGGCATTAAATGCAAGGAGCTATATGTATACTAGTATATTCCTAAATACTCTAATATATGTTATACATTGACGGATAGTAAGAAATGAACATATATTTAAAATATTATTGGTTTTAAATGTGAATAAGCAAGTATTAAATGATCTAAAGACTAAATACATTATAATATTGAACTATTTTAACTCAGTAAAGAATAAAAAACAAATTTTATTTTCAATTAAGAACTTTCATGTTTGTTTGACTAACAAAGTTACTACTAGTTTGATCTGGACTGAAATTACTTTGGAATGCAGGTTTTGCAAAGTTAACTATCCAATGTTGGAATTGATCAATTCCTTCTCCTGTTTTTGAGGAGAATAGAATGCATTGGAATTTCTTTGTATTTTTCATGATTTCTTTAACAATAACTGTAGGTTTTACTTGTGTTTCATCTTCAACTAAATCCATTTTCGTACATAAGAATATAAAAGGAATATCACTAATTAAATGAGACTTCATAAGATCTTCAAAGTATTCTCTGATTTCTTCTATTTTTGATAATTGAGTAGCATCGATAATGAAAATTGCTCCTCCAAAGCCAATAATTATGTCATCAGCATTAGACGAGCTAACATATTGTTGTGGAAAGTCCCAAAGATATACAAATGTCTTATCAAAAATTGCAGTATCTTGATACTCTTCTGTTGTAGGTTCTGTTTGTCCCATGTCTCCATAGCATATTTTCTTAACAAAACTCGTTTTTCCAGCTCCTTGGAGACCAAAAACAGCAAGCCTGTATTCTGTTACTTGACCACTAATCATAATAATGAGGACCACACTTCAAATATAACTCTAATTATTCATATTGGGAGCTTTGACTAATATGGTGTAGCTCTAAACAAACAAAAATCCAAAAAAAAATCAGCAAATCATGTCAAAGAGGATTTGCAAATATCAAGTCATTAACAAGGTTATATCCAAAATGATAAAGGTGTGTTTATCAAAAGAATTTTGAATATTGAAAATATTATTCATGATTATTTTTGGAATACTTATTACACAGATCAACTTTCTATTGAGATAGAAAATGATGTGATCAAATCTTGATAATTATGTGTTTAAATAATTATCGATATATGTATGAATTAATTTTATAAAAAAAGTTAATTTGTTTTGTAATAAAGAAAACGAGACATGCTTTAGAAGTCGAACATGTCACCAAGGTCGAGTGGGGCGGCTGGTTCTTCCTCCTTCTTCTCTTCCTCCTTTGGAGCCTCTTCAGCGGCAGCAGCACCACCGGCAGCAGCGGCAGCTGGGGCAGCACCACCAGCAGCGCCGTTCTTGACGAGCTCTGTGACGTCGTGGTTCTTGAAGTAATCGGCGAAAAGATCAACCCAGTAGTTCTCAAGCTGGACGTTGGCAGCCTTGATGAGGGTGTTTAATTTTTCGGCTGTGATCTCGATACCATCGTCGTTGAGGATAAGGGCGGCGTAAACGCAGGCGAGTTCAGCAGACATCGTAAAGGAGGGCCAAACCGCTTTTTCGATTGAATTTCATGATAGTGCTATTTTTGTTGATCTGAAGAGTGATTTATTGATTATGCTTGATTTGTTTTGAAATTCATATCAAACTCCTTCGCACTTTTATGATTTGAAATTTCAATCAAAACCTTTGGTGATATATTTGGGATATGTCTTATTAGGGTACGAAGGCTGTAGTAATGTTTGTAGTGATTGTTATTTTAAAATTTTGTAAATTTCGTTCCAATAAAAAGTGTTTAATCTTTCTTGCGTTCAACACCAAGGGCACCACCACGGCGGCCAGTAGACTTTGTGCACTGGCCACGGACCTTAAGGCCGAGACCATGGCGGATACCACGTTTCATACGCATCTTCTTCATACGCTCGATTTCAGCACGAATGTTAGCACCGAGATCTGTAGCAACCCAATGAGTGTTCTGGCCTGTAGCGCGGTCGAAGCGGCGGTTGAGCATCCAAACTGGGATCTGGTGCTCTGTTGGGTTTTGGATGATAGAAACGATGAGCTCTTCTTCCTTTGGTGTGAGTGTACCAGCACGGCGGAGTGGATCAAGGCCAGCGCGGCGAACAACGGCATATGCGAATCTGCGGCCAATACCAGAGATGTTTGTAAGAGCAAGGTAGAGTGGGCGGCGGCCATCAACGTTTGTTGAAAGCATACGGACCATATCACGGAATGCTGCTGGATCAGTTACTTCGATAGGCATCCTTCAGAAAAGAACGAGCCATTCACTTTACAACTATTGAATTTAAGATCATGCAAAATTTTATGATATTGAGGATATTTTAGGAAATTTCAATAAAAACTGTCATAAATGCGTATATGAACCATATATATATTATTACTTCGATGATTCATAAAATATGATTCCAAATGAAGAGATCCACTAATCTTTTGTATGTTTGCATTTTCCACATGAGCTTGAATCAATCATATATAAAAGAATACTGTATAACAATGAAGATGTCTATAACAAGAATTTGTCGTACCACAATAGCGCATTGAAAACAAAGGTGATCCCACGAAGATCTAAACGACAGATTTCAAAATAAATAAGATAAACAGAATCAGTAGGCCCCAAATATGAATGATATGATCTTAGTTTGAAAAGTTACTAAAAGAATAAAAAGATTTGTGAAATACGTTTTAATTTCCATAATTTTTATCAATTAATTATCACGTTATGATTTACATATCAAATTTAATTTCAAATATAAGTAAATATCAATATTCATTATTTGTATTTCAAATTTAAGTATGATTGGAGCTTTTGAATAAAACCATATTATTCCCAGCTTACATGATTATAGTTTATTATGTAATATCCGGTTTATCAGGTAAATAATAGATTTGAATTCTTACTTTTGAGGATTTGACTGAAAATAGTAAAATGAAAATGGATCACTACAGAATTATTTTATATTCTAATAAACCATTTTGCGTAAATGGTGGTTCTTATCATCTATCAAATTTCGTAAGAAGTCTCTTAAAAATCTTGGAGTTCTTCAAGAAACGATCTTGTTCAAGATACATGTCGAGATACTTTAATAAAATTAATCATAAATCGAAGCAAAACATCACATTTGTTAATAATTTCAAGTAATATATAAAATTCAAGATTACAATGTATACTGAATTCTAACAAAAACGAACAAAATCTCATCTCTCGACTAGAATATTAATATGATGCAGTTTTTTGTTTAGATCTAATATAAAATTGAATAAAAACTTTACTTTTACACTTTTCATTCAAGTATTTTACTAATACAGATCATGCTTTATCAATGCTTAGTACTATTCTTTTTAGAAAAAAGGATAATAAGAAAGATATTTGTGATTTAAAATAATTTTTTAAAATTTGCCTTTAACTCATCACTCTGTGATATATAAAAAGCATTCGCATTACTCATTCTGCTTAATTGATCAACTCAAAATTCCAAAAAAAATTCAAAAATGAAAATTAAAAATTTGATTTTTCTCTTCAAAAAATCAATTTTGAAAAAAATTTGGAAAATCAAAGTATTGTATAATTAATCAAATCATCAAATGAAATCGTTTTTACTCATAAAAAACATCTAATTTTTGATTTTGATATCATATTTGATAAAAACTCATTCTATAGTTGATGCAATGTCATGATTGCTGTTGGAAATATTATTTCCATAACAAAATTCTTATTTTAAGATAGTAAAATAATAAAGTTTTTATTTCAACAACAACAAGTAAATAGATGAATGGAAACGCACTATATTCGCATAATTGTAGTAACTATTGTCTATATTTGAGTTATGACTATTCCAATCAAAATGTATAAAATTAAAATCAGAAATATCAAACAATTATATTCGGTACTGTGCACTCATTATAGATGTCATCGTAATTTATAAGTAATTTATATCTAAAAGCCGACTTTTTTTTTCTTATTGCAATAATTTTCTCAAATTTTAGTAACTTTTTCTATATTCAAGTTATTTGAATATATATCATAAGCGACGTAAGAACTCAAAATTACGAGGAATTCTGTCGTTGCATTTTCGAGATGCAAAATTTCGATTTTTAATATGGGGCTTTGGCAGGTGCAATCTTGATGTTATCTCCATATAGGAGTACAGTTGCAATATAATTAAAATTAACGAAGTTGATTTTAAATTGCATAATGCTGGAGAATAACTGACAATACAACTAAGAATACTCTACAAGATAGTTGCTAATTGGAGTAATAAATTAGGCTCCACCAATCATTTCTTTCATCTCTGCCATAACGAGCAGAAAAGAAGCGATCAGTAACCCTAGGAAAAAAGAAGAAGGGTGTCACTTTTCGTGGGATTACCTTTTTGAAAACTAATAAATAATGGAATTAAAACTAACTTTTAGATAATAGAAGCGCAAGGTGAACTATAATTTTAAAGCCATGTTTTCGTTTAGAGTTAATTTTGATTTCATCTTCTATTGTTTCTTTTTCCTCTGGAAATTCAAGTCTTAGTTCTGCAAAGCATAATCCAGATGATAAATGGCGATTTCTTGAATAAAGGGATCCTGCATTTTCTCTTGTTGATGCGTATCCAATAGAGCAGGAGGTCAACATTTCAAAATAACAGCCTTGAGCTTGAATCTTTTTTGGTGGGATAGAATTAAGATTAAAAAGGAAACTAGCATTATTTCGATAAAAGCTGCAATTAATAAAATTCATATCTAGACGTTTAGAATAAATAAGGACAGGACAATTGTTTTGAAAGTAATTAAATAAAAATATTTGAAATCCAAAATCTTGAGGTTGATATCCAGCATGATATGCCTGACCAGAAAATATGTCTTCTGATGTATTGTTTGAGAAAGTCGAGTATGTTACGTTTGAGAGATTGCCACAATAAATATTGTAAATGCTACTATATACCAGTTTTGAATTAGAAACATTGATTGATTTCATATTTATTTTGCCACCCATCATGTAAATATTGAATTGCCCATTATTATTTTCATCGCCACTTAAAGTAATTGTAGAATCAAGGAAATAATTTTTCAAGGAAGTTGCTTCGAAAATTGTCGATTCTACTTTGCAATATGCACCAAAGGTTGGTGAGTTAGAGCCATAACTGCAGATTCTGTCTTGAATACATTCTCCATACTTAGTATTCAAGTATAAAGAGCCACCTTCTTCACTCTGGTGTGCGCATTCATCAAATGAGGTAGTGTCAATGAGAAATTTAAGGGTTTTGTTTGTTGTGTCTGTGATACGAATTGCTCCTGTGGTATTAAGGAAATTAAATAGGCAAAGCGATATATAAAAACTACTTGATACAGAAACATTGAGATTGTGATCTTTGTTTTTGAAAGATTTGTGCTGAATCGAAGAATCGAAGAATTCAGCCCATTGCTTGTGTAAAAATGAGAGCAATCTATAATCTTGAGTGATTTTGTTATTACTTCTATCATCACTTCAATCATCCACATGCTTAGCTTTAGAATGAATCATGCCCTTTCGTATAAAAGAAATCATATAAAAAAATGATCGGAATTTACATTTTTGAGAGAAAGTGTTAACTCAGAAAAACTTCGTACCTGATGTCCATTTCTCTTCGTCAAGCACATTTATCAAAGCATGCAAAAAATGAATTGTAATGCATGTAAAGGCAAATATGAAAAATATCAAAACAGAAATAATCAAATAAGGACGTAAAGCAGTTAATTATGATCTGTTTGTATCAGATGATGAATGTTAGGCCAAATTCTAGATTAAAAATTGATTAAAAAATGAATATTTAATAAACATTGTAAAACAATAATAAATAAATATAAAATCAATCGTGATGATTAACTTTTCTGCCACCAATTGTTCCATATCCTCCGTAACTCGATTCCTTGACTAAATTATAGTTATATACGTTGCCAGCATCAGCCCCGAGGTCACCAAATCTATAAGGACCTCTAATGATTGGTACAGTTCTTGTTGCAAACTTGCAATCTCCGCCAGGAAGATTTGAAAATTTCATACCGCCATTATTCACTGCAAGAGCCACTCTGAACTGTGTTTCTATTCTTGGATTCATTAAAAGTGCGTTAAACTTGGAAAGTGGCCCAAGTGAAGTCGAAATCTTCATTAAAATATTAGATCTAATGAAATCTCTTTCATTGTACTTATCCAACCTTGGCCTTGTTCCATAACGGCCTCCATTGTTGTAAATTACTTGTGCAACCTTTGGATTGTAGGCAATATCTAACGGAGTTCGATTATAACCGTCATATCGATTCAAATCGAGGCCATGGAATGCCAGCAATGCAGTAACCATGCCAGGATCGTCCCTACAGGCTGCAAAGTGGATCGGAGCTGCAAGTCCTGGATGTTTTGTATTATTAATATCTGCACCGCCTCTCCTGATGATCGTACTCATAATTGATGGATCTGAGTTGAAAGCGATCAAGTTTAGAACGGTTAGTCCGGTGGTCGTCACAATTTCTTCGAGAAAATCGTTTCCGCCGCATGTAACTAAGGCTCTGACTTGTGATTCGGACCTTGTTTGTATTGCTTGGGCGAAAACAGTGATTAAACTTCTCATTGGAATTTCTCCCATAATTTCTTTGACAATTTGGATCAATCTGATATCATTCGGTGGCTCTAGCCTAAGTACAAGCTTTGTCCATAGGTGTTCCAAGTTCGATCGCTGAAGAAAAGCTTTAATTACATCATCACGGCCGCGATTGAGCAAAAAGTCAATAGTTGTGTGTAGATCTGAATGAGCAATGGATACAGCGCCATGATGGAGTAAGTACAAGCTGAATAAGTCTTCTAATGAGGATTCTGATATCCAACATTGGAAGAAATTAATAGAAATGTTCATTTTCTGGACGATGTAGGCCATAGAAAGAGGTGGATATGTATATTTTTGGTCAATCATTAAGTCTTGAGTGCAAAATACCATTCTTCTGCCTAAAACATTTTCTGCAAGGAATTCTAAGCATGGAATGCTCGTTGTTGGTAATGAATAAAGCAATACATCTGATGGAAGTTGGATCTTTGAAGCAATTAGCTTAAGATTTTCTAAATCTCCATTGATAGCAACGATAATTGCAAGCTGAATCAATTTATGATCAGGTTTTCCACGAGAAATCAAGTATGAAAGGATCTTTGGTGAATTAAACATGGCGGCAATCAAATTAACTTGAGATGTTGGTTCGATACCGTAATATCTATTCAAAAACTCGTATTTATGGTTTCCAAGAACTGGATTTTCACTATTGCAGTGTTTAATGAACCAATCAATATCATCATTTAAAAGAGCTGCCAAAATGTTGTTTGTTTTGCATTTGCATTCGAGAATTGATGAAACTTCCTTGAAATTATCAGCAGCAAGATCTAAGAAGTTATTAATTTTCGATAACTCTGGTTTATCTTCTTCTTCACGGGTTTCATCGAGCAAAGCTGTTGGATTTGTAGATCTCAAGCTTCCCATTGTTCCCCAGTTTGTAAGATAATAATCTGTGGTTGGCTTGCTGTCAAATGCTAAGTAAAAGTTAAGAATATCTTGTTTATCGAATACTGAGCTAACGATAATGAGAGAGCTGATAACAGATGATTGGCCGCGTGTGCATATATCTTCGAAATTTTGACGATATTCGGCTGTTGAAAAAATTCCAAATTTAACGAAGTAAGAGAATATTTCTGTACTTGAATCAAGAACATCTTGAGGCATTGGACGTGAGTTTGGAGGTAGTGTTTGAAGCAATTGGCATAAAACCCACATTGAATAATACAATACATGAGATTTTGTCTTTGATACAACAATAAACAATTCGCAGAATCCCATAACTTGTTGGGGAAGCTGTGGAAATAGTGGAATTAGTTGTTGATGAATTTCTTTATAATTTTGTGGGTTTATTTGATTTACAAGTTCAACTCTCTTTTGCCTTTCAAGGAGCTCAGCTTTGTATGTTTCAGGAATATCAAAATTATCTAATGAGAACTCCATATTGAGTATAAATTTATTATTGTCAAAATAATATCGTAAATTTACGTGTCAAAAAAGTATTCGCCATTTCCAGAATATCGTGAAAATCATGCTTAAGTGTGTTTAATCTGCGCCTTGTCATGTACGAACATCGAAACGATTTTAAGGATTAACAACTGTTATTCGAACGCTAAGGTCTGGCCAAAAAGTGGCGGTTTTGACATTATTTTGGTTGATTTAATAGTTGAAGTCTCGTGATTTTCGGCCGATGCGTCAACCAAACACAAGGGAACATTCCAGGGATCGCACTCGTGTCGCTGTCCGGATGCTGTTTCGACATTTCTTTAATTTATAGAGACAAAATTTTATTTTTTACAAATCTTTGTTCATTGATAATTTAATCGTCTATGAAAACGTTTTACACCTTATGTCATTATTCAATATTTCTTGAATTCAAATTATGGAATTTTTATTTTTCAATTTCGAGATTTGCAAAGCTTGTAAATATATGAATTACTTTAGATAAGAATAATACAATATATTTTTACTTTATAATGAAATATTTGGAGTTATTTTTTCATCATTTCCAAAATTTTGTCAAAAATCTTCTCAGAAACCTTTTCTTTTGACATCATTTCTAGTTCGTGAGCTCCCTCCTTTGTTATTAAGGTTACCAAATTCGTATCTGTACCAAATCCAGCTCCTTGGACTTTCAAATTGTTTGCAACGATCATATCTGCTTTCTTCTTGTTTAGTTTAAGTGTGGAGTTCTCAACTAAATTCTCTGTTTCCATTGAAAATCCGCAAATAAATTGATTTTCTCTTCTATGTTCTCCTAAATACATTAATATGTCCTTTGTTCTCTTGAGTTTTATTTCAAGGTCTCCGTCCTTCTTTTTGACTTTTTCATCTGAATATTCAATTGGCGTGTAATCTGCAACTGCCGCTGCTTTAATAACGATATCCATCTGGTCGGATATTTCAGTAACTTTCTCGAACATGTGTTCGGCTGAATCTACTTCAATAATTTTGACGAATGGAGGAATTGGAGCTGAAGTCATAGCCTTAACAATTGTTACGTTAGCTCCACGAAGCATTGCTTCTTTGGCAATTGCAAACCCCATTTTGCCCGTAGAATGATTTGTAATGAATCTGACTGGATCAAGAGATTCTCGCGTAGCTCCTGCTGTGACGAGAACATTTTTTCCAATCATATCTTTGTTGCGGGCAATTACACGTTCTATGTATGAGAATATAACTTCTGGTTCTGCCATTTTTCCGCTTCCGACATCTCCACATGCAAGCATACCAGAAGATGGTTGTATGATCTCTATTCCATACTTTTGTAATGTTTTGATATTATCTTGTGTGATAGGATTTTCAAGCATTGCTGTATTCATTGCTGGAGCTACAAATTTTGGACATTTTGCAGCAAGAAATGTTGTTGTGAGCATATCATCAGCCATACCATGTGATGCTTTTGCAATGAAATTTGCAGAAGCTGGTGAAACTAAAAATATATCTGCATTCTTTGCGAGTTCAATATGTGCAATTGTATTATGGTATTCTCTATCGAATGTATCAACATGTACTTTTGTCTTTACAAGTGCTTCGAAAGTAACTGGTGTAATGAATTTCTCAGCATTCTCTGTCATGATGATATGAACAGATGCTTTGGTTTTTCCAAGCATACTTGCCAATGTAGCCATCTTGTAAGCTGCAATTCCTCCTGTTATGCCAATAACAATGTTTTTTCCTTCAAACATTTTTAATTCTGACGCTCTCAATTTTGATAGAATTTGTATTTTTATGGCAAGATGAAAGAGAATTTGTAAATGAAAGGTCGATTGTTCAATTCTGGAGTACATTGATCCATTGGCATATTGTTTACTAAGATCGCTCATCTAATTAAATATTTTGAATATCAGTTCCGATGATCGTAAATAAAAGAGCTACAAGCATGTCTTCTTACTTCGAAAGAATCCATTTTGTAGTGCTGAAGATAATAGTTTAAATGAAATGGATGTAATTGATTGGGCATTTGAATAGCCAATAAGCATTTTGGAAGATTTTCATTTAATTCACATAATATAATATGAAAGCCAATGCAACATCAATCAAATATTATTCCACTTTTTTTCTTCAAACGTTTTGAATGACTTTCGATCCTGGTCACTTCGGATTATCTGAAAAGGACAAACTTTTAACAACCAACGTTTTCAAGAGAATAGCATCAGAGTATGGTCTATCCACACCAGAAGTTAGAGAGCAAGTCCAAATTGCAACAACAATTTTCCTACATTACATCATTGATGGTTGTGTTGCCTACCATCAAAGAGATGACACAGAAAAGCCTGTATCAGTTAAAACTGCTGACATCGTTAGAACACTTGAAAATTCAGGTTTCATTACTATTGCAAGAAAATGTGCTTCACAGTAGGATCATGTTCCATTGTAATGGAATTATGTATCATGCATCTATAATTATTTAATAATATACTACATTAATTAGAATTTCTCGAAGACTTATAAGATTGTTTGTTTCATGCTTTGTATTGTTCTAATATGACTCTGGTGTAGTTTATCTATCATTTGCAAATTACGGTTGTTTATATAAAAAAATATTTATACCATTTAATTTTCTTTCCGCATAAATAACTCTACTTCTTTGTTCTAATTGGATAACACTTTGCATATAATCTATTAAATTGTCTATTTGCGATAGAAAATATGAGATATTTCTTTCATGAAAAAAAAAGTATTTATTGCGCATTGTAGAATAAAAAACATATTAATCAGAGTAAGATTCGGAACTTGAATCTGAGTAGTCCGAGTAATCAGAATCGAATTCTTGATTTTCTCCAAAACTATTTCGTAATTGCTGAGTGCGTCGTCTACGCATAAACATATGACGCTTTTTCAGCTGTATATTGGTCACTTCCTGAGGATCGTAATTAGGATTGTTAATTTCGTTAATCATTTTTTGACGTATTTTGTCAGGAGTAGGTCTGTTTATAGGCTGTCTAAGATAGTATCGTGTTAATTCTGGTGGTGGATGATCAGCAACCATGCAATAAATCGAATTTCTGCCAAACTGTGTGCCATTTAAATCAAGTGCACTTTGGCAATCATCTGGATTGTTGAATTCGGCAAAGCCTCTACCACTTATTCTATCACCGCAGTCTTTTTCGAGATCAACTCTCAATAAACGGCCTTTGCTGATCAAAAAGTCCCTAACTTGTGTTGGTGATACATTATTTGGTAAATTTGTAAGTAATAGTATCCTACCTTCATAGGGAAACGGGTTTTCGATTGGATGAATTTGAGTCATTTTATATTGACACTTTTTTCGATCAAAGATTTTATAATTGGCAACACATCATAATGCGCTATTTTTAAATTTTAATTCTCTAGTACCTAAAAATCATTATTTATGGAAAATTGCAAGTGAGATCGTTATCATTAAATCATCTCCGATAAATTAGTGCCATATTTGCTACGTTGATATGAATATTAGTATATATGATTGTTGTGCGATATATTTTTTATGATAACAATGGAAAATATCATAAATTATAGTTCGTTATTTAAATTGTCTTTGCCATATTTTGTAATCCGGGTCTCATAATAATCTATAATTGATATTCCAGCTAAAACCATCAAAAAGAATTTTTTTGGATGAAGCACCTTTTGCGGTTTTGGTCGGTCCTTTTCGAATGTCTGAGGAACAACAAAAGGTTCTTGCTCCAAAGCGTGAGTGCGGTCTCCACTCATCTGGCAAGCGTGTTAACTTCGCTCGCAAGATCGTCCACGAGCTTGTCGGCTGGCAGCCATACGAGCGCCACACAATGGATCTTATCAAGATCGAACGCCGCCGTGCTGCTCGTCAATTCCTTAAGAAGCGCCTTGGCACACACCGCCGCGCTATGAAGAAACTCAACACACTTGAAGAAGTTGTTCAGGAAGAATCTCTCCACCACCATCACGAGTAAACTGATAACATATATTTAGGATGAAATAATAACTCTTACGCAGATGATTACATTTCTTAATCATTATATAATAATAACGTGTAAAAATTATTTTTCATTAATAATGAAATGAAATTAAAGTTTGAATATGAATGAGAAATAGACTACTGTGCTTCTATGTAAGGGTTTCGTTTTGCTAAAATTGTCACTTTTATAGCATATTTGTTTTTGAATGTTTTGCGAAACCAAAAAAAAAAACTATGATATACAATGTGTGTGTAAAGAAAATACTTTATTTACTAGTTAAAAAATCATTTGGTATTGATCAAGTTATTTTTTCTGGATAAGATATTATATGGATAATTGGATAGAAAATACAATTATATAATCTTGTACCTGGTTTAATTAAGCTAATTGTCATCAGAAACTTGTAATTTTTATGAATTTCAGATTTTCTTTTCATTACTGCTTTTCTTAATAGGTCAAGTTCTTATTTACGTTATAAAGTATGATATTTACAAATATCAAGTTATCGTGTTTTTTGAGAAATTATGAGAAACAAACAAAAATGAAAAAGATAGGAATAGCAATGAATAGTGATGTGGGTATAGAAAATGTAAGAGATATGAATGCAAAGCAATCAGTATTTAGGACATTGACCATAGATTTCGAAAAAAAAATGCTGCATATTGAGCGAAAACTATGATTATATTATAAGGCTGTCATTTAAAGCATAATGAAACTATTCCCTTTTCATTTTAATCGAATAAGATAGTAAAGATTTTTGAATTAGCTAGAAACTGATGAGATGTTTTCACAAATCAGATTTTTAATCTCTATAATGCATAATTCACCCAATATCTCAATTTTGATATTGCGAGATATTTTTGCTATTGGTTTCGCAATTTTGACACAATAGCAAGAGGGTTCTATAAGCATTATTATCAACGTAGAATCTGAATATCATATCAGAAAATGCCGCAAATCTGACATTTACCCGACCAAATAGCAAAAATAATTGAATACTTTTCGCGAAAACTTTAAAAATCGATAAAAATATGAAATATAGATATTAAAGAGACTTTTTATATAATATTCATAAAGATTTTCCAAAAATATGATACCGCAAAATTAAAAAAGTGACGTCTTGAGTGGAGTCAAAGGTCGAAATTGCTAGCTAAATGTTTTTTTAGCGAAATTGCGTATTGTACGTTTTTTTCGCAAAACGAAACCCTTATTCTATGAAATAAATCTCTAATAATTTTGTTATATTGTTGAGAAAATATTATTTTTCAGTCAAAATCAAAGAAATTCATAATAGAACTGAAAACCAAGCTTAAAAATATTAAAAATAAAGACAACAAACAGTAAAAGTTTTGGTAATTCGGCGATAAATATAAACATTTTTAAAACAAATAAAATATAAACAATAAAGGAATGAAATTAAAGGAAATCTAATGTTTTTCTAATAGAATTCATGAGATTTCTTCAGAGTCAAATGATATATGATAAAAATCTTCTAGCAAATAAATAGAGAACTTTCTATGGCAAATATCGTGTTTGATCTAATACAGCTGAGATGTAGAGGTATTATATTCTCGAGATATTGGTATAACAGGTTCCGTTATAGATGATTCAACAATAATTGGTACTGAATCTGGATCATCATCATTTTGGGCATATTCCTCATGATCTGTATTTTGTTCGAGTTTCGTTGATTGTATTACAACATTTTCTTGAGCAAATGCTGGATTTAGCTTGTTTAATTGATCTGTTTCTAACTCAATTTTTGGAAAATTTACTTTATCTTCTGTGTTTTCTATTGGAGATTTTAATAAAAGATCTAATTGTAATTTATTTTCAAATGGAATTATTTTATCTATTTGCCCTCTTTTTCCAATGTAGCATAACTTGCCGGATCCGTCTATACTGCTGTCTTTTTCAAAATAGATAATGCGAGGATTGATTAGTTTTTTTCTCCCCATAAAAATTCTGAAAAAATTTTTTATGGCTTTGGTAGACAAAATTGAGGAAATAGAAATTATCTTGAAATCAATATGTATAATTATTGCGGTGTTAAAGTGGAAAAAGGCGACCGTTTAAGGGTGCACCCGTATGTACGTTTATTTGAGAGGAGGAGGATTACCCTCTCAATTTTGAGGGATTCGTTAGTTTATTTTCTCGATGAATATGCAATAAAATTTGATTTTTACCTTATCAATATACTTCATATAATATACACATGTTCATGTAAAAACTTTTTTCCAAAATCCTCAGGAATTAAGGGATTTTTGAATTTTAAGAATTTTTTTCGAATTTTTTCGAAAAAAAAATATTTTCACAACAGCCTTAACGGCTAAGATTTAGGAACAATGTTAAGTATCAAAAAGAAAGGAGGTCTGATATAGACAACATATATCGTTGAAGGTTGAAAAAAATCTCTAATATTTGAGCCCAAAATTTCAAATTTTAATTTTTTGAAAAAAGAGGCCACCCGTATGTACGTTTATTTGAGAGGAGGAGGATTATATTTTTGAAAGGGTGAAACATTATGAATATGTTAATTATATAATAATATGTATTATTATAAAAAAGAAAAAATAATGCACGTTAAAATTTTTCTTTCTTGATTTTTTACAAAATCTACTTAGAATTATGCAAAATATGACTAAATAATTATAAATTTCAAGTTAAATTTTAATTTTGATAAATAATTTAAATTTCAAAATATCAAGTTCAGTTCGACTATGTATGTAGTAATTCCTCAATAAAGTGCCAAAACCCTATTAAAATATATGAACATTTTCAACATTTTAATGTTTTTATTTAAAAATTTGATGGAATATGAGCTTCAAACAATTATTATGTAAATAAAAATAATTAAATATATGTATTTATTCGTATTACAACCGTAGTAAGTCGATTCTTCCTTTCTTCTACTGAGATTTGAATTTGATTTCGAATTGTAAAGAGATTCAAAGGGAAAATACTAGCGGATAAAAACTACCTCCATGAAAGGGTCATAATGGAGTCAAGTTGTATTTTTTGATATTTTTTGCTTTTCGAGCCTAAATAGGTAGCCAAGATAATGCCTAAAAATAAGGTTCTAAATTCTGAAGTTTACATGATCCTCTCGTGTGCACCCTTAAGATAAGGAAATTAAAAATTCCAATATCTAATTAATTAAAAACAAAGAGTCTATGTCACTAAATATACACTACAGTTGCTTCCAATGAGAAGCCTATGCTTAATTGTCGATCAGGTATCAGGATGAATTCATCTTTAGCATCAGAATACTCAAATAAATAAGTCTGGAAAAGTTCCAATACTCATAGCAACAATGACATAATAAATGATCTACTCTAAAAAGGCTCACTCAGGAGACAGCAAAGCCGAATATCTTTTTTAAAAAGAAACTGTTAATGGTTCAAGTTTATGACAAAAAGAGCAATATTATGTTGGCAAAAATTAAAATAATGAATTCCAAGTAAATAAAAGATGCGACAATTGACATTGGACTGAAATGAATGAATTAAAGCATCATCGTTAAGAGCAAAGAGAAATCTCAAAGTTGACACATATCTTATATATGTTGAAGTTGTTAAGGAAGTAATGAAATAAAAAGGATAAACTCCACTCCCTTTAGCATCACATTTTAGTCATTTTGTAGTTGTTAGATTACTTATCTCTGCTGGACTTAATTAAGAAACATGAAATATTGATGGATGTTCTCCACTCAATAGTGCATCCTCTTGAATTTGTTTTATGTCTTATTTCTGTTTGAGTTAATAAAACAGAATAGTTAATGATAGAAGAACTGCACTCAACAATGCAAAAAGGGAAAAAATGTAGATATAATTATAATTTTAAAACATAAACAAAAAAAAAAATTAAATTTCAATATTATCCCAATCAGTAATTTCGATGTTTTCAATTTTGAGTAAAAGATCCTCATGGTTCACATTCAAATTAACGTTGTGTACTGTCATGAAATTGTCAATCAGTTTGTAATCAATTTTTTCTGGTTGAATTTCATCAGGATGTATATTGCAAAGCATGAGATATGCCAGATTTGGTTCAATATGTGGTGTAAGTGTATTGTATTCCTTTGGATTCTCAAGGATTTGGTTATTTGCGATAACAATCAAAAGAAGTTCCTGGAATCTAACTAGTTTGGTTTTAGTAACTAGTTCGATTTCTGCTATATCTGTGTTCATCTTGGTCGCACTGAGAACACTCTCGGCCAAATGATTAATAATAACTGTATTTGCGATCTGGCAGTCGAGATATTCAATGATACAGTTGTATAGCTTTTCCTGGGATGGAGTGCTGAATCTTTTTCTGATTTCAAGAAGTCTGTTGACAATTTTCTTGAAAATTTCGGAATCTGATGAAAGTTGGAGAGCTTTTATGTATAAATCAACGATTTCATCTCCTATTTTTGTACATGCGGTTATAATTGATTCTCTGAAGATGTCAAGTGCGCATTCGCCAAGAATTGTACCTTTTGGAAGTTTTTGGTATAAAACAAGGCAGGATTGGTAGAACAAGCATGCTGAAATTGGTGAGGATATTGTTGTTCGAATATCATCAAGCTGTGCGAAGCATTGATTTAATAAAGTTGGAGAAATGGAATCTTCAGGAAGCTCGTTAAGCTTTGCTGCAAGAACTTCACCTGGATGTCCTGGTGCTGATTTGGAAAGCTCATTCCAAGTGTTAAGAATAAGTAAACTTATTTCTGGGTTTTCGGAAGATTCTTTTGCAATATCTGTAAAGAACTTCTGAAGCTCTCCGTCAAATGATGTTGCTGATGTCCAACTTGAAACATGACTTATGCCATATGGACTAACGTGCTGCTGCGGATTGTAAACATCACGCTTGTGTTCTTCATCATCGTCGTAATTCGGTAAATCTGGGAAAGGAATGCCGAGTTGTGAAAAACTTGAATTCAGAAATGAAGAAGAAGTTAAGCTGGAGTTCGGCTTTATGTGGGATGGACTCTGTAATTCGCTGATGTCTATTCCTAAATCTAGGCTCGAAAAACTTTCGAGCTTGTCAATAGATTTTGTTGACATTGCGGAAAATTGAAAAAATTGAAAAGACTCTGAAATTAGCTCATTCAATTGTTATTTTCAAATAGACTCAATGACATCTTTGCATTCGAAACATTTAATAAAATATTTACAAACAAATAAAGTTCACAAAAAAACATTGAATTGATTGAGGAAATGAGTATTGAAAAATTGTCACTCTGATTAAGCAATGCATAAAAATGCCAAGGAAATCAGTAACAAATTCATATCGATAAAATGAAATCGATATTTCCAATTTTTTACAATTTCAGACATTAAAAATGAACGAATGAACGAATTTATTTTGGGGAAGGTGTCTGATAGGATATGTTGCACTTAATCCCGATGAGCAGCACTCTTATTTGATCGAATTTTTCGGGTCTTTTGAATGAAAAAGTGACAGAATCGATATTTTAGTACGAAAACAAAGAAGAAACCAACGGAAACAAGTAGTTTTAATTTCGATAATCATCTTGTCACTGCTAATTATATCTTGCTTTATGCTTTTTTCTTTTAAAAATCAAAATAATATAATTAACCAAGTTAATATTCAGTATCCCAAGTGCAAACTTTGCAAGCCTATCATTTCTCATTCATCACAATCTTCATCCAAAGACTTGGTTTTATTATTTGCAACTGATCGGTATAATAGAATTGAAATACTTGCTAGATCACTTCGATCAGTTGGATGTCTTGCCCGAATAGTTGTTTTAGTACCGTTAAATGCTAATATTACCCAGGATTTAACAGATTGTGGAATTGAATTTGTTAAAATTGCCTCTGTCTCCTCTAGATTGCAGAGATCTCCACATAAAATGAGATGGGAATGGTATTATCAATACCTTCAGGAACATTTGAATGAATTTGATCGAATTCTTCACACAGATGCGTTTGATACTTACGCTCAATACGATCCTTTCTCAAACAATATTAAGAATGATACTTTATATGCGATTTCAGAAGATCGTCCCATCAAGGAATGCATTTTCAATACAAAATGGTTAAATTCCTGTTACAACAATACAGTTTTAGAAGAACTCTCTGAGAAGAGTATACTCTGTAGCGGAACCGTAATAGGGGGAGCTCGCCAATTCATGAAACTAGTTGAAACAATGGTAGATCGAGTTGGATGGGATGATTGTTGGACAAAAGCTCATGACCAACCTGTGTTTACTTATGTTATATACAACGAATTGATTGATTCCCTTAAAATTGAATTTTTAGGATGTAATTCCGAATTTGCAACAATGAATTACTGTTATTCTGAAAAGAAAACACTTTTCTATAATGATAAGTTACTCAAACCTAATTTAATTGGTTATCCTTCTTTTGTCCATCAATACAACAGATATCCAGAAGTTGATGACCATTTTCAGAAGAATTGCAATATCAGAATCGATAGAGCTAAAGAAAAGAAATCTAAAAATAGTGTGAATAACTTAAATGCGCAAATTAGATGATAAAAATAAAATTTTAATTTTACCAAGATTAAATCTATATTTGTATGTTTTTCTTCAGCTTGTGTGATCATTTCCTCCTAGGGTTTCTCTTATTTATTTTATTTGAAATATAATTTAAACATTTATGATAGATTTAATACATAAAATTGTATCTTTCTCTCCATGAACTCTGGTTTGAAACACTTTGTTATGGAGTGAGCGATTGTCAACCTAATGCATGGTTCTTTACTTAAATTTGATTTACATTTTATATTTTTTCCAGATCGAATTCTCGAGCATCAAAATGCTTCATTTCAATGCCAACACTAATTTAAGCATAATCAAAAGGTAGTATGCATATCACTTATTATAATAATGAAGGTTTGGCAAGTTGAACAGATTTTTTGATCATTTTTTCGTTGAGATATTTCATCAAGGACAGATTGCAAAATTTTGAATGAAGATTGTAATTCAATACGAAATAAAGGAAAATTTCACATGAAATATATGTATTTATGTTGCACTAAGCATAACTAATTAGGTTTCAACATTTTGCTATTTTTTGAAAGGGGGTATAACTTGTATTCAAAATTTGAATACTTGACAATTCACTATCATGGAAAGCCCTATTCAACTTCTAGTTAATAGGGCCCATGAGATGAAAGAATTAGCCACAGCATATCGTAGTATGGGTACTACTGGACCTCTCAATGATGTTCCAGACGTTTTGGAGATAGCTTCATCATTGATCATGTCCGTTATATCTAATGCAAATACGAATAAGCTTGAGCTTCAAGGTAATGCTGCACTTCAAGAAATAGATGACATTTTAAATGTCAAAGAGCGACAATTTATTACAAAAATGGAAAATTTGATAAATTCATCCGGCCAAAAGGTTACAGATGTTGCAGGAGTGTTAGAACGTGTACAACAGAAATATCATGAGACTATCGAGAAATTAACTAAAATATACGAAGGAATTGTTCAAAAAGAAAAAGATAAATTGGAAGCAAAGATAGCTGATCAAGAACAGCTCTGGGAAATAGAAAAGAAGAATCTTACAGAAGAAGAAAATAAGCTTTATAGAGATTTAGAACAAATATCTTCAAAAGTTCTTGGAGAAATTTCCCAAAAATACAATGAAAAGATAAATGATATTGACCAAAAGATCAAAGAGCAAGAATTGATGCTCCAAGGTTCTGTACATCAACGCCATCAGCAAAATCAGATTAAATCTGACTTATTGGCTGAAGAAGAACGTCGTATGGCTGCAGAACATGAAAAGATATCAAGAGATTATCAACAGAGACATAACAAAGCCGTTGAAGAAGCAACAAAATTAGAAGCTCAAATACAAGAGTTAAAAATGACAATAGAAAGCGAAAGTGCAAACTCCCAATCAAGAATACAACGTATGGAAGAATCCATGAAAGCAGATTTCCAACGAAGACAAGATGATCTTCAAATTCTCTTGACACAGTACTCTGAGCACCTTAAATTCCTCGAAGCCGAAGACAGTAGTATCCAGCAAAGCCATGAATACGAGAAAACTACCTTAGAAACCCGTTTAGCCAGATTACAAGAAGAATACGAGGAAAAAATTGGAAAAGAACAACGTTCACAAGATGAAGCTGTCGCAGTTATTCGTCAGAACCTCGAAAGCCAGTACAAAGTCATTTTCGATTCAATTGCAGACGAAATGAACGAAGAAGACGTAAAACGCGGCAAGCAACTTGACGAATACCAGCAACAGAAACTCCAGCGTGTCAAGCAAGCAGAAAAAGAACTCCGAGAACTAGGAAAAGCGAATGAGCGAGAAAAAGTGAAAATGCAAAAAGTCGTGGCCGATGCAAAAGAGAGGCTAAAAGCGGTCAAAGAGCAGCGTAACATTGATATTTCGGAGCTTAAACAAGCGAGACAGTCCCAGCTTGGTGCTCATATGCAGGAACTTGATGATATACAGCATAAACAAGCTCTTGAATTAAATCGGATTTTCAAAGCTTTCGACGAACAGCAGAAACGACTCGGCGAAGTTCAAAGAAAGTCCGTTGGCATGAAGAATAAGCAGAAAATGGAGACAGTTGCCGCAATGCGAAAAGAACATGAAAGAAGAAAACAGGCTATCATTGAAGAGATCGACCAACAGAGGGAAGACGAAACACAAGAGGAAGTACAGAAGAGAATTGACGAGATGAAGAAGTCAGGACCAGTGACTATGGAGAGTTTGGATAAAAGACAAGGAGATTTGAAGACAAGAATGGATAAAATAATGAATAAAATAGATAGCCTCATTGAGAAAGGTGAAGAAAAGAATAGTTCGTCCTCCTCTGCCGTTCAAATGCCTCTCCAAACTTCTAATTCCCAAAATAAATTAATTAAAAATGAGAAAAAGCAGGAATCTCCTGCAAGAAGCTCTCAGAAGATTCTGCCATTGAACCCTTTGGTCAAACAAGAGGATTCTGAAGAGGAAATCTCCAAATTAGCTCAAATTTCCCAAAGATCTGATGTAGTACAGAACGAAGACGTTAATAATGAGCTCAGAAGGTCAATCCAAGATGCTAATAGGCGTAGAAACAGCGTTCTTGAAGAAAGCAAGTCTTTAAGAAAAGATATTTCGGATCTTTCGAGTAATTTCGAAAATAAGTTCTTGCAAATTGAACATCAGTTCCATGCAACCAAGTCTTCATTAACACAGAAGAAAGAACTCCTTATAAACCAAGAAAATTATATTTCCAATAATGTTATGAACCAAGAAAAGAAGCTAGATGAACTGGATAAGAGGATCAACCTCAAGAACCAAATTGTCGAAGAAATGGAGCAAGTTTTCGAGAAAGACAAAGAAGAATTTACAGAAAAAATAAAGAAAGAGCAAGAAGCCAAATTGGAAGCAGCCAGAGGTACAGGTGAAGAAGCAGAACTGATGATGTACGAGGTCAGAATGGATTTCCAGTCAAGAATGGCCGCAATCAATGAAAAACTCGCAAACGCTAAATTGGCCACAGAAAAAATAACCGCTTATATGTTGAAATCTCGTGCACAAGCCATTGAAGAAGCACAGACGGAACTGACAGTCGGATATGATGAAAAAGTGAAGTTTATGAACGAACAACATAAACTGAAGCTCCAGCAATACGACAACGACGTGAACAACAAGAAGAAAGAGTTCGAAGATGAAGTTTCGAAGACGAAAGAAGAAACAGACGAAAAATCCGTTGAAGCAGAAAAAACATATTTAGAAAGGAAATCGGAACTGGAAGAAGAGAGACAGAACTTAATGAACGAATTGGATGAGTTGGAGAAGAAGTTAAATGAACTGTTGAACACGGAATGCAAAGACTGCGTGAGAAAGAAAGGAATTTTGGCTGCTTTGCTCCAGAAAAAGAAAGGTTTGGAAACAAAAATTGAAGATTTACACGAAGTTTCAACAAAATTGGAGTATAAAATGAACGCAATCTTCGGAAATGAAAGGAAACCACTTAAGGTAATGAGTCCTAGACTATTAGTGCCTCGTGCTAAGACTGCTCAAGCACAAGCACCCCCAAGAAGAATCTAATTAATTTTTATTGTATTTTTTTTATTTATATTAAATTTGTTTGTTTATTTTTAAAAATGTTATTATAATAGTTTATCTTTGCTTATCTATTTCTTAGAGATGTAGCCCATTTTATACTCAATAAACTACATCTTGCTTCCTTAATCTTATGTTCAAAGACAATATTCATGAAATATATGAATTTTTGAGAGTTTTTTAACTTGTCTTTGATATTTTCTTCTGCGGCAGAAAAAAGTTAATATTTTTCTTATAATCTCCTCTTAATTCAGTTCGCAGATAAAGGAACATATTAATTCTAGAATGGAGCAATAGAACCATGTATTAACTCTTAATCAATATATGATATATCACAAGTCTATACTTCAATAAACTGAACATTTGATCATGTGAATGATAGTACAATAGAACATGATCTTAAGCGTTTTTGGAGGAGTTTTGAAAGCTAAATGGGCTGTAAAGGATCAGCAAAATCAATGTTGAATTAAGTAACACGAAGATAGCAAATTTTTTCGGGCAAATTATTGAAACAAAATCCTTTGAAAAAAAATTGAATTGTATTGAAATTTTATAAATCAATGTTATCTTACACAATTATACGGCGGAAAATGCATTACATTACAAACGATGCTCTATATGATGATGGAGCACTAATTTACGTGAAAAGTAGATCGCCAACTTATTACGTTTGCTCGAATACAACTGTTATCAAGCCTCATGCATTCAAATTCTGCAGAGATGATATAAAAACAATCATATTTTGTGGTGGTAAGATAGAAAAGTTCGAAGGAAGAGCATTTGCGAATTGTCATAATTTAACAAGTTTAAATACGGAAAATTTACATAATTTGAAATCTATTGGAACACGTTGTTTTTCAAATTGCACTAGTCTGACTACACTGATAATACCAAGCTCAGTTACTACTATATTTAAACGTGCATTTTCTGGATGTACTAAGCTAGGGAGTATTAAATTCCTCAAAGATTCACAGTTACGACAATTAGGTGAGAAGGTTTTTTGTGATAGTGGTTTGAAAGCTTTTACAATTCCAGATAATTTGAAATCTTTCTATGCATCAGCATTCTTTGCACGGCCATTACGGTTCATAAATATTTCAGCTAATAATCATAATTTCTATGTAGAAGATGATGTTATTTTCAGTAAAACTAAAACAATGTTGTTATATTTCCCATATCTCAAGAAACTTGATGAATACGTTGTTTCTAATGGAGTAAGAATCTTAGAAATGCATTCCATGAGTTGTAAAGCATTGAAACGACTTGTTTTACCTCCATCTCTTGAATTAATACATACTTACGCATTCATAGATTCATTCATAGAAATAATTAACTTTTCGCAATGTAATAATTTAAGATTAATTGGTTCAAGAGCTTTTTCTGGCAGTAGAATTCAATTTCTCAATGTTTCTCACTGTTTAAATCTTAAGATGATTGATGATTGTGTATTCGAATACTGCAATTTCCTTAAGTACGTTGAACTTCCTCCTTCAATTGAATCAATAAAACAAAAATCTTTCTTTAATTGCACAAGACTCTTAACAATTTCATTGAATTCCAACATAAGTAAGTTGTCTTATATAGGAAAATACGCTTTTTATGGTACAGGTATTCGGAATTTCACTTTAGGACCAAATGTTTCATATTTCTCTGGAAAAACCTTCTTAAACTGTCATAATTTAGCAACAGTTTCGGTTGACAATCGCAGTGTGAACTTTTCATCACTAAATAATGTAATTTTCAACAAAAATTTAACAAAATTAATTTATTATCCAACAGGACTTAAAAACGAATCATATAAAATACCAAGTTCTGTTAAATCAATACGAAGATTTGCATTTGCTGCTAATAAATATATCACAGAAGTAATTCTTCCTTCAAAATTGAGGAAGATTTGTCAAAACGCATTTTCAAGGTCAGCAATCCATAGAATATCAACTCCAAATAATCTCAGGATGATCCATAAAAGCGCATTTAAAGATTGTAAAAATTTGACAGTTGCAACAATAAATGGATCATTTACGCAATTACCTGAAAAGTGCTTTAAAGGAGATGTGAATCTGACTATTATAAACCTTCCAAATTCATATGAATCAAGTCCTCGTTCCGCATTTGAAAATTGTACTGAAATTAAATGTATAACTTACCCCAAAGAGATGAAACAGCAGGCTTTCTTTTCTGGTCTTCCGTGGGGAGCTATGCATCATGAAAACTGTTCTGCTTTTGAAGATTTCGTTAAGGAGAAGCATAGAAACTATTCAATTTGGCACTCAGACGTTCTTCGGCCTAAGAAGAAAAAGTGATACCTATTGATGTTATTGTTTAAAATTATATTCAAAAAATATTATTTTTTGAACTTTTATATTTTGTTGTTAATATTAAAGGTTAATATAGAGTATGTAAAATTAAACTTTCTACCAGTTATTTTTTCTTCAGTTTAGCCCATTTGACTTTAATTCAAGTTTCTGACATTACAGATGAAGTGTCATTTAAAAATATCTACAAATGTTAACAGCAAATCTTATGTAGTGTATATGACAAGTATTTTTTCATTGAATGAATTCAAATCTGTTGCATTGCAAAAAGGAAATTTAGAGTCATAAAATGTGTGCTTTTGGCAATAAAAATGCCTTTGATAATATGAATATTACAGGATTTTGTGAAGACTTTGGATTGATTGAATCAAAATTGAAGATTTAGTGATGAATGATGAATCGCACTTATGATTCCTACTTTACTATTGACATCATATCATTTCATATCAATAAATTTGATAAAAACGCATAAAAAATATCCGAAATCTGAGTTACAATTGCTTTTCCCAAGTTTAATATAGAATTTTTTTTCTCTTAATGAATGTTAAAGATATTTTATTTGGTAAAATATAAAATTAAAAATTTTTAATGTCGGAGCAATGTATTCCTCCAGACAAATACCTTAAACTGCGAGATCAGTACAAATACTATATTGATTCGTATAACGCATTATATCAGCTGAAAACGGAAAATGAAGAAGACCTAAACAAGATTTACAAAATGATACGAACAGAATTGATCGATTCAAAGAAATTTATACCCCAAAATATTATCAAAGATATTTTAAATATCATTCCGTATAAGAATCGCTATACAAAGTCATATTTATATCTTGCGAAACTCATTTATGATGATTATCATGTCAAAGAGGTCATCAATGTTAATACTATTTCAAAGTTCTTGTTTTATAAAGAATATGGAATTAGATTAGACAATTCAGGTGATTTCGAAAGAATTAGATCAGGAAATCTTGATATTCATACAGAAGATACAATATACAGAGCAATTATGTATAATGACTTAGAAAGATTCATCATATTCACAGAAAGAGAAGGATTTGATAAAAATCAAATGCTTATAAGCAAATTATATTCAAATACTCGCTATTCATTACTTGAATTATGTTGTTATCATGGAGCAGTTGATTGTTTCAAGTTTTTAAGAACAAAATTTAATTCATCAATAACTTATGAATGTCTAGAATATTCATTTTTAGGTGGAAATCCAGAGATCATGAGTGAATGTTTGAAATATAAGGAACCAGTAACTTATCCAGTACAAAAAAATGCAATTATCTCACACAACATTGATTTTATTACATTCTTGATGAATGAATACAATGTTGAGATCTATTTAGAATACTGTGCATATTATAATAATCTTGAAGCATTTTTAGTTTACTTTGATCGAACTAATGATATTAATCTATGCTTTGTTTATTCATCGATGTTTAATATTCCATCCCTTTGCAAATATTTCCTATCACGTGGCGCTGATATCAATGCAGAAAATAGAGATGAACAAACTGCTCTTCATTGTGCGGCCTTAAAAAATAGTAAAGAAACAGCCAAATTTCTTATTTCACGTCATATAAATATTAATAAAAAAGATGATGATGGACACACCCCTCTTCATAAAGCGGCAATTAAAAATAGTAGAGCAGTCGCCCAACTTCTTATTTCACATGGTGCAAATATCTCTGTAAAAGATAAGCATCAAGGACAAACCGCACTTCTTTATGCAGCATATAAAAATAGTAAAGAAACAGCTGAAATTCTTATTTCACATGGTATAAATATCAATGAAAAAGATAATAATAGGGAAACCGCTCTTCATAAAGCAGCACATGAAAATAGTAAAGAAACAGCTGAACTTCTTATTTCACATGGTATAAATATCGATGAAAAATGTGAATATGGAGGAACTGCTCTTCATATTGCAGCATATTATAATAAAGAAACAGTTGAACTTCTTATTTCACATGGTGCAAATGTCAATGAAAAAGATAATGAAGGAAAAACACCACTTCATAATGCAGCACAGAAAATGGTAAAGAAACAGCTGAACTTCTTATTTCACATGGTGCAAATGTCAATGAAAAAGATAAATATGGAAGAACAGCTCTTCATAAAGCAGCACAGAAAAATGGTAAAGAAACAGCTGAAATTCTTATTTCACATGGTGCAAATATTCATGAAAAAGATAAAGATAGATTAACTGCTCTTAATTTTGCATTATGTGAAAATAGTAAAGAAACAGCCGAACTTCTTATTTCACATGGTGCAAATATCCATGAAAAAGATTATAATGAAAAAACCGCTCTTCATATAGCAGCACAATTTAATTATAAAGAAATAGCCGAACTTTTTATTTCACATGGTGTAAATGTCAATGAAAAAGATAATGATGGAGGAACTGCTCTTCATTATGCAGCATATAAAAATAGTAAAGAAATAGCAGAACTTCTTATTTCACATGGTATAAATATCAATGAAAAAGATAATAATAGGGAAACCGCTCTTCATTATGCAGCATATCATAATAGTAAAGAAACAGCTGAACTTCTTATTTCACATGGTGCAAATATCAATGAAAAAGATGATGATGGACAAACAGCTCTTCATGAAACAGCAGTTTGTGGTCGTAAAGAAGTAGCCGAATTCCTTATTTCACATGGTATAAATATCAATGAAAAAGATAATGAAGGAAAAACACCACTTCATAATGCAGCACAGAAAAATGGTAAAGAAACAGCTGAACTTCTTATTTCACATGGTGCAAATGTCAATGAAAAAGATAAATATGGAAGAACAGCTCTTCATAAAGCAGCACAGAAAAATGGTAAAGAAACAGCTGAACTTCTTATTTCACATGGTGCAAATGTCAATGAAAAAGATAAATATGGAAGAACAGCTCTTCATAAAGCAGCACAGAAAAATGGTAAAGAAACAGCTGAAATTCTTATTTCACATGGTGCAAATATTCATGAAAAAGATAAAGATAGATTAACTGCTCTTAATTTTGCATTATGTGAAAATAGTAAAGAAACAGCCGAACTTCTTATTTCACATGGTGCAAATGTCAATGAAAAAGATAAATATGGAAGAACAGCTCTTCATAAAGCAGCACAGAAAAATGGTAAAGAAACAGCTGAAATTCTTATTTCACATGGTGCAAATATTCATGAAAAAGATAAAGATAGATTAACTGCTCTTAATTTTGCATTATGTGAAAATAGTAAAGAAACAGCCGAACTTCTTATTTCACATGGTGCAAATATCCATGAAAAAGATTATAATGAAAAAACCGCTCTTCATATAGCAGCACAATTTAATTATAAAGAAATAGCCGAACTTTTTATTTCACATGGTGTAAATGTCAATGAAAAAGATAATGATGGAGGAACTGCTCTTCATTATGCAGCATATAAAAATAGTAAAGAAATAGCAGAACTTCTTATTTCACATGGTATAAATATCAATGAAAAAGATAATAATAGGGAAACCGCTCTTCATTATGCAGCATATCATAATAGTAAAGAAACAGCTGAACTTCTTATTTCACATGGTGCAAATATCAATGAAAAAGATGATGATGGACAAACAGCTCTTCATGAAACAGCAGTTTGTGGTCGTAAAGAAGTAGCCGAATTCCTTATTTCACATGGTATAAATATCAATGAAAAAATAAATTTCAACAAACCGCTCTTCATTATGCATCAAAAAATGGTTATAAAGAAATCACTGAACTTCTTATTTCACATGGTGCAAATATCAATGAAAAAGATGATTATGGAAAAACCGCTGCTGATTATGAAGCTGATAACACAAAAAAGAAACGTAAGTAGATCTCGACAAAATGTTTTTGAATAATTTCTGTCTAATCAATTTGATTGAGTTAACGGCTTTTATAAATAAACTAGAATTCTTTTTTATTTATTTTTACAGAATAAAAATTCAGAATACAATTGGTAGTGGTATTGGGTAAATATGATTAAATCGATATCAGATACCGTAGCTACAAAATGCTATGTCATAAAACTGCGGTATTTTCATTTAATAATTAAGATAGAGCTGAAACAAATCAATATGTTTCATTTCTTATATGTATCATTCTATTTTTAAAATAAATCAACAGCCTATTTTATTGGTAATATGTTCGTGTAGCGAACTAATATATCATAATTCCTTGATACTACTGAAATACTCTCATTATGAAGCGTTTTATCCGGGTCAAGAATGGAATATAATTTTCAAAAAAAATACAAAATTGTATTGAAATGGAAGCCTCTGAGCTGATGGCATACTTAGTTGATTCATATTCTATATTTATAATGTCTGAAATAATGTCAATTTTTGATATTTTAAATAATAAAAATCTAATTATAAGTGATTCAGTATATTTGGAAATAGGATTTAGAGCTTTAGACTCTATTATTGACGTAATTACTCCATTTTGAATGTTTGGAACAACGTATTCTAATTTTTGCATAATTATTATAAAATATTAGAATACGCGGCTGTAATTGAAGTCAACAAGATCAATTCTTATCCATAATGAAATCGCCTATGTGTATCTGTCAATGGAATTTTGATAGTTTAATCTATATTGAATACCGAATTCTTTATTGCATCGATAAAAAGGTTGAATCATATAAATTTATTTCAAAAAGCAGACTAGTGACTTAATGTATGATTCCATTGACTATCTTTCGAAGAATTCATTTCAAAGTTTGTCAAAATGTGATATAAAGCAACCGCTACTATACGGGTGTGCATGTATTATGAAACATTACAACATCTGACGGAAATCTCTAAGGTCTAACCCAGATTTCAAAAACCGAGAGGTGTCTTGAATAAAATTAGTCCACTTTTATGATTACCAATCTTTGGGCTTAAAAAAAACAGAAATATGAAACATCGATTTTTTCTGACAGAATTTTTTCATCGTCTTCGAAGATTTTTCTGGGCAATAATGCTGCTCACATTGTATATATTCATATTTTAATTGGAATTTCAGAAATTTTTGCGAAATTAAATTATCCAAGCCAAAACATTTTGAATTGCATTCAAAAAATTTTTCTTTCAAAATTTTTTTGAGGAGATAAGTGCTCAGTCAAATATCATCATTTTTTTCGATGAGTGATTGGTTTAACGATCCTTTCTTCGATGAAACATCAAACTCCAATGATATCTTCGCCCATGCAAACGAAATGTTCAGAGGAATTGACAGACATTTCCAACAAATGATGAAAGATCAATTTGACCTCATGGGCCCAATGCTTGGTTACGATAAAGACTATGATTCTAACCGTCCACGGATAGGAATGAACAATACCAACAACAACTCTCGTAGTCGTGTTGAAGAAGTTGATGCCAATGCAGAAACTTCGGGTTCCAGAAGCGGCAAATCACCAAAGGTTGAGGAGCCAGATGATTTCTCTCGCTCAAATACAAGAAACCGTTCATCCAAGGTAAATCTTCCAAGAGAACAGAATCATGAATCATTCTTCTCTGGATTCGGCGATGATGACTTTTCTAATGGCAAGTCATACTGCTACTGCTCATCTCAAGTTAGCTATATGAATGGTGATGGCACAGTAAACATGAAGAGGAAGGATACTGACTCTACAGGTAAGACACATATGGCTGAGATGCGCCGTATGGGTGATAAGACCGTAGTTTATGATAGAAAGGTTGACTCCGATGGTAAGACTACTGATTCAAGAAAAGTCCATGGAATGAATGATGACGAAGTAGATAGCTTTAACCAGAAGTGGGATTCAAAGGTAAAGGATGATCCATTCCTTAGCCACATGAGTAGAAGAGGTGCAAATGGAATCGGATACTCGTCTAGCAAGAGAGATTCCAATGCTCTTGGCTACGATACAAAGAAATCATCTAGCCGAGAAAATAGTTCTCATAGCTCTTCTCGTCATTCAAAACATTGAAAATAATTTACTTTTTTTTTAATTTTTCATCCATGTACTTGTAAAAACCTTTTAATTTTGATACAAATATTAATATTTTTTATTCCGTTTTGAGTAATTTCAAATAAAATCTTATTTGTTATAAATTTTCATAAAAATTGTTTTGTCAATGGATTAAACGTTGTAATATCTACTATACAATCATATTACCTTGCCAAAAATGATGGTATAACAAAAAAAATTAAAAATGTAAATTTTTTTTGAATTAGGATTGTTTAGAAACAAATTTTAACTGAAGAGTTTGTATGATTAACAAAATTGTTAATGAGATTCTATTTTGGCTTGCATTTATAAACGAAATCAATTGTTACTTGTCAATTTTTAACAGCAAGTGCTTTTTTGGCTTTGTTGGTTGTTAATCTGATTGCCTGGGTTAGGTGGGATTGGCTGATTCTTGTTCTTTATGAAAAGCTTGATTGCTTGTTCAAAGAGAAGATCTATACCCTCTCCTGTAAGAGCACTTGTTTCTACATAAACAACATTGTGGTCCTTCGAGAATTCTAAGAAATCGGCGCCCTGGAATCTGTCTTCTTGAAGATCCATCTTGTTAGCGCAAAGAAGGACACCGATATCTGGTCCGGCATTATCCTTAAGATCCTTAAGCCAATAGTCAACTGCTTCAAAAGATGGGCGGGAAACAATATCAAACATAACAATGGCAATTGAAGCGTTTCTGTAATACATTGGTGCCAATCCTCTGTATTCTTCTTGGCCGGCAGTATCCCAAATCATTAAATTGTATGTTTCATTGCCGAATTTCACTTCTTTTGTTATAAATGCTGCTCCAATTGTTGGCTTTGAAGACTCTGGAAAAGAGCCTGTAATGTATCTGTTAATTACAGATGTTTTTCCAACACCACTTTCGCCGAGTGTAACCAGTTTGATAGGAATCGACATTGACCTTTCAAAAAAGTTTTTGTTTTCGGTAGACTTTCAATTTTGGCAAACCAGGTTTTTTAGAGTTTGTTCATAATGTTAATATTAACTATCTCAATTTTACGGTAATTTTTGAAATTTGAAGATTTCACCATGAAATTTTGTATTTTTTGAAGATTTGTTGCTACAAATAGTAAGTTCATGTATTATATTATCTAATTAATGATTTAATTTCTTCGAAAAACTCCAAATTTTTTTCAAAATCCAAAAAATGAATATAATTCTCTAGAAATTTATATTAAAAATGTAAGATTTAAAAAAATTTTGAAAATCTTAAACCACGAATTTAACTAAGTGATCCATAATGAAGTTAAAAAATGTGATAATTCCACCGCTATTCAGAAAAATTGGCTAACGTCTTTTGAAATTTTTGAGAGAATTCAATCAGATTTTTTACGCTCCTTTTTTCGATGAAGGAAGTCACTGATTAATAATATTTTTTAAACGAATTTTTATTGGGAAAAAAAATTATATTTGCATGAATGATAACAGTCAAGCTGCTGTGGCAGCTATCCAAGCCATGCAAAAACAGTTACGAAAGCTAGAAGCCGAGAATTTTGAATTAAAAAGAGAAAAAGGTCGCCTAATTAAACTTTCACAAGATCGAGAATCAAAACGGAAAAAAAGAAACGAAAAACTTTCAACATATAATGAAAATGCTTCTCAACTAATATTATCTTCTAGTGAGGTTTTATCCCAGCTTTCAGCAATACGTGCAGAAATTGAAGATCTTAAATCAGATAATTCTCAAATGGAAAATATCCTAAGAAAAGAGAAAGCAAAACAAGAAAGTTTAGATGAGGAATATAATTGCTTGAAATCTGATTATGTCGCAAACAATCAACGTTTAAATGAATACCAATCTTTCCTGGGAACGTTTTTGAAACTTCCAATTGCACCAACTGCAATAGATCTTAATGGTTTAGTAATCTTAAATTCGAGTGAAAATAATTACGAAGCTTTAGATGATGACTTACTAGAAATATATGAGCAACTTGAAGATTTGCCAAAGAAGTTTAAAGCTCAGTCATTGAGCGTTAAAAAGAAAATTCTTCAAACGTACTGTAAATCTCATGGAGCTGCAACAAATCTTGTTAACAAGATAACATGCAATGAACAGCAACGATTTTCTTCAATACCTCAAGAAATGTCGGAAGAAACGAAGAAATTATACAAAGAATACTACGCAATTATTAACGAAATGAAAAAATTCGAATTCAATGACTAAATATGTTTGTATTTTACTGTATTTACTATCCCAAATCATATTTTTTATGAATATTTTATTGAAATCCTTCTTCAAACTATTCAACATACAATTCTATATTTCTGATATCCTTTATTTTCATAATTTTCTGGTCATTTTTTTTCAGAATGATTGTTGGAGTAGATTTTACAAATCGTTTCGATAAGATTGTAGTGTCTTATATGAATGAAATCAAAATATGTACGTTCCCAAATCTCCAACTACTAAAGCAAAATACTTTTCCTGATTCTGGAATTGGTTTCACATCTATTAATTCAGATGCTTCGATATATGCTTTCACAGGACGTCCATATTCCACATCTACATTCCGACAATCATCAATTGCTGTATATGATACCACAAATTTTACGAAATTTTTTGAAAATTCTTTTCCAGATGATATTTTATGCATAAAACTATCGAAAGACTTCATCCTTATAGGATTTATCGATCGAGTCGAAATATGGGACTTTGTTTTACATAAAAAATTAAATAAAGTAAATATTACTGCAACAGTGCAATATCCTATGGGAATTTCTCCCGATTCCAACTTAATAGTACTTCCAGGCCCCTCGCCATCATCTGTGTATGTTTGTTCTGATCCAAAGCGTGATATTACTAAGTTACAGATTAATGGTGAAGGTTCCTTTTTAAGCACATCAGTTCAACACACTGATGTATTTGCTTTTGAGAAAAACATTATAATTTTCGATCCAAACATCATGAAAATTTCTCAAAAAATCCAAGGTGAGTATAGGGCTATTTCAGTTTCAATTTCTTTCGAAAATAACTTAGCTATTTTGGCTAATAAATCTCTAAAAGTCATCGGACCAAACTCAGAAACCATATTTCAAACGGAAGTTGCCAAAAATACATACTCTAAATGTGCTTGGATGAAGAATGATATTCTGTTATACTCATCAACTGGAGCAATTAAGATAATTACGTTGGATAATTCATCATATGATGTCAAATTAGAAAATATTGCATGAAATTCTTACTTGCTATGACATAATTATAATTTGTTAATACTTGTTGTAAAAGAGCCTTATAAATGATATATTTTTTCAAGATACAATAAATAAGACTATAAATCAGCCAGGATATGTCAGGTTAGCCCAAAATATCTTGATACATTATGATTAAAAGAGTCAATTTATTAAAAGTTAATAGATTTACATTAAAAAAACAAAAGATTTGAATAATAAATACAAATAAGCATCATTTTTGTAGCATGTTCAGAAAGATTTGAATGATTCCTCGCTGAACAAGTCGAGATCGAAGTTGAAGTTCAACAACTCTTCTTCTTCGAAGTTATTGAATATCGAGAAAATGTCAGCTTCCTTTGTGTTTTCTGTATCTATCTGTTTTTCAGGTACTGTTTTTGTGTTTTGGACTTTCTTTGTCTGAGATCTTCTCCTCTTGGAAGACCTTGAAGGCTGTGAGCGACCTGTATACTCATAATCGGAGTCTGGTTCTGATATTGGTGATGATGCAGATGTCTGTGTTGATGATGACGAAGAAGATGAACCGGCAGAAGAATTATTGTGGTGTCTGACCAAGACGTTCCATCTGTTTTTGAGTGCTGCATCTGTTCTGTTATTGAAAAACTTAGATATTTTGACCCAGCGTGGACCAAATGCGTTGTATTTTTCGATAAGGATGTTATCCTCTTCTTCTGTAAACGGACATCTATTGATATCTGGAGATAAGTACTTCATATATCTCTCTTTGCATTGTCTAATGTTTCTGTTTCCCATGATATTGGCGATTGTCTCCCAGTTGCCTTCGCCATATGTCTTGACAAGTTTGACAAGCTGTGCATCCTCTGATGGAGTAAATTGCATCTTTGGATGTGGCTTGCCGATGCTTCCTTCTGAGTGTCTTGATGTTCTCTTTGCAAACATTGTAATGACAAAAATGAACCCAAATTTTTTAACCTATCAAAAATTCTAATTTGACAATGACTCTGAATTTAGTTGGGCTGATTTTTTGAGAAGGCTATTCAAAGTAAAACCAAAGAACATTAGAAACTCGCGAATCATATTGTTCACATGGCTATGATAAATATTTTCATTATTTTATTTCTCACTCTTTGATCGACTTGCTTCACCATTTGAGAGGGATTGATGAAATATTTGAAAAAGTCAAGATAAGAAATAGCGCAAGTTCCAAAATATGCTATCTTGAGCGAGCATATTTTATAGCACTGAATAATCATATTATCTTTCGCATTCCATCGAATCATAGAAAATTGAGAGATATGCCGGTTTTCCATACCGTCGGATGTATGAAAGTTTTATAATATAACCGATATATATAAAATTAATGAAAAAGCAAAAATAAGAAATATTGATATTCATAATGATATTAGCAATATCTATTCCTCAACATTTGAGAAGATTATTTAATTGAATTCAAACGTGCTTTTTATTGAAATAGTTCAGATACTTATCGCAAAAAATATCTGAAAATCACAGTATTTTGAGAGAAAGAAAGTTCTACTTCTAATTGATTTGTATTGGTTAGCTGGGGCATTATTTGATATCATCTCTATAATTTTTTCGTTATGACATCCGGATTATAAAATTCTCTCCTAACCAAGCAATTTTCCAATATATCTTTCTTTTGTTTTTTACTCTTTATTTTTATTTTATTTATAATAAAATTCCCATACATTGATTGCTCGTTCAAACCGTTCGCCTTTGAATTGTGCAACATTTATAAATTCCATACTATCCTCTCTTCAATCTTTAGATTTTACACGTTTCCTGATATGGTATGGTTAATCCTCAACATATAATGAGTTTTCCCATTTGCACTTCTTCATAAACATAATTTATCTTTTAAACTATTTTAAACTCCAATTAAATTCATATTTCGATACTATTGTATTAGAAAATAACTTATTTACCAAACAAAATAATAATTTATTTTGATTAAATCAGTTTAGTAGAGACTCATCAATTTGAAAATTTACAATCAATATTCATTATCGTAAATTATGAATTCTATGATTTAGATAACAAATTGATTAATATTATTTGATAAAGATGAATGCTCGTGTTCACCTTATCAGAAGATAAATTTTGATTGTATACCAGCGATTAAAACCTGGATGCTAAAACTAATAAAAGACGTATAATTAAGAAGCGTAATGATAGATTAAAGATGTTAAACCCATAATGAGAAATAAAGAAAAATTTGAGTTGGAAAATGTAAAAAAATTATAGAGATGATATCAAATAATGCCCCAGCTAACCAATACAAATCAATTAGAAGTAGAACTTTCTTTCTCTCAAAATACTGTGATTTTCAGATATTTTTTGCGATAAGTATCTGAACTATTTCAATAAAAAGCACGTTTGAATTCAATTAAATAATCTTCTCAAATGTTGAGGAATAGATATTGCTAATATCATTATGAATATCAATATTTCTTATTTTTGCTTTTTCATTAATTTTATATATATCGGTTATATTATAAAACTTTCATACATCCGACGGTATGGAAAACCGGCATATCTCTCAATTTTCTATGATTCGATGGAATGCGAAAGATAATATGATTATTCAGTGCTATAAATATGCTCGCTCAAGATAGCATATTTTGGAACTTGCGCTATTTCTTATCTTGACTTTTTCAAATATTTCATCAATCCCTCTCAAATGGTGAAGCAAGTCGATCAAAGAGTGAGAAATAAAATAATGAAAATATTTATCATAGCCATGTGAACAATATGATTCGCGAGTTTCTAATGTTCTTTGGTTTTACTTTGAATAGCCTTCTCAAAAAATCAGCCCAACTAAATTCAGAGTCATTGTCAAATTAGAATTTTTGATAGGTTAAAAAATTTGGGTTCATTTTTGTCATTACAATGTTTGCAAAGAGAACATCAAGACACTCAGAAGGAAGCATCGGCAAGCCACATCCAAAGATGCAATTTACTCCATCAGAGGATGCACAGCTTGTCAAACTTGTCAAGACATATGGCGAAGGCAACTGGGAGACAATCGCCAATATCATGGGAAACAGAAACATTAGACAATGCAAAGAGAGATATATGAAGTACTTATCTCCAGATATCAATAGATGTCCGTTTACAGAAGAAGAGGATAACATCCTTATCGAAAAATACAACGCATTTGGTCCACGCTGGGTCAAAATATCTAAGTTTTTCAATAACAGAACAGATGCAGCACTCAAAAACAGATGGAACGTCTTGGTCAGACACCACAATAATTCTTCTGCCGGTTCATCTTCTTCGTCATCATCAACACAGACATCTGCATCATCACCAATATCAGAACCAGACTCCGATTATGAGTATACAGGTCGCTCACAGCCTTCAAGGTCTTCCAAGAGGAGAAGATCTCAGACAAAGAAAGTCCAAAACACAAAAACAGTACCTGAAAAACAGATAGATACAGAAAACACAAAGGAAGCTGACATTTTCTCGATATTCAATAACTTCGAAGAAGAAGAGTTGTTGAACTTCAACTTCGATCTCGACTTGTTCAGCGAGGAATCATTCAAATCTTTCTGAACATGCTACAAAAATGATGCTTATTTGTATTTATTATTCAAATCTTTTGTTTTTTTAATGTAAATCTATTAACTTTTAATAAATTGATCTCCATATTTAACAATGCAGTACAATATAATTCAAGTTATTAAGTCATCGAGTTTGCGATGATGGAAATTTGGTAAGATTAGTCAGTGTAAATTTTTCAAAATTGGAAATCAGCAAAACTCATGGCGATTACTCTCTTGAATTGGATGCATATTTATTAAATGCAATGATGGGTTTGGTTAGATCTACTTTAAGTATTTTTTTAAGTTGCCTTCAAACCAAGCAATGTCAGATAAAAATTCTTTAAATCAATCCATATGCAATGGTTGGGTGGGTTATTATTCTTAATTTACCATTCGAAAAAATTGAATAAATTCATTCATGGCTTGGAATTGAAGGAAAACATTTTCGAACTATGTAATTGGACAATATGTATATTTTAATTACCTGCTGCTCAGAACATGATTTTAACTTGAAATTGATAATTTTACACTATTAGAGAAAAATCCATGGTATTATCATTGGATAATCGACAAATATCAGTAACAACATCAATCACACTGAGGCTGCCAGCAATCTCAATGAGGTTATGAGAAATTTGTTGAAAATGAATTTTTTAAATTTACCAATTCTTTTGATAAGTAAATTTTTAAATGACATGGTTGGTCTAATATTTAAATCAAATCGAAAATCTTGAAACCAAAGTTATTGGATTTGAGAACCAATATTTCAAATGAATATTTGTTCTATGAATACTCACAAATATTTGAGAAACTGATTCTATTCAAAATATAAACCAGAAAAATTTAAATAGCATTATATAAATCTATTAAACCCTCATTTTTTAAATAAAAAATTTAACAACCCTTCTCAAATATATGAAATCTATCGTCACCGATCAATTCTAATACAATTTTCAAACATATTTGAATTAAACTGTCAAAAATATATTACAACTATTCAAAATATTTATAATCAAAATTATCTACAAAATAGCATGTTTCCAAATCAATTTATAAACACAATAGCATTCAAATTTTTGATTGATTCCACTCTCAATGATTCCACATTCACAATCGAAAGCTATTTCCATTACATTCTATATTAATACACCATTACTTCTTAAAAATAACAGAATTCATTATCTATTCTTTGATATTTTTTCATTCAATTTTCAATATCCGCAAAATCACCTTCATCATTGCAAAATATCTAAACCATAATTTAGTCAAATCGAAATATTAATTAATTTTTATCTTTACTCGTATCCAAAATCAATCAAATCATCTTTTTATACGATAACTTATGCTTTTTCTGACAAATCTAATTAACTCCTCATTTCAAATACATATTTCTTATAAAAAATATTACACGTTATTATGACGCAAATTTTTGTCATCAAAGATTTTCATAAGTTCTTCAACAATATTCCAATGATTCTTTATAGGAACTGAGAGCAGAAGTGATAGGCCTACAGCCATCATAATTAAATAACAGAAAAACAAGAAAGGTATAGAATAAAAAAGCTTGGAAAATTTGAAAAAAGTTATTATTTTACATTAAAAATAAATTAGGTCTGCTACTAATATTGAATAAAAGTGGCACTTTTCAGTGCTGAAATTGATAATAAGTTTGAATAATTGCGTATTGACGCGTACATCAATTTCCCACTTCCTTGTTAAAGCACCTTTTGACAAAAAGTGACATAAAAATTCGTGACAAACGAAAAACCTCCCTGGCTTTTCTAAGTAAAATCGACCGTTCCCACCTCCAAAAACACGTCTAATGATGTGTTTCAGCGTATTCAGTACTTACGATAGTAATCTCTTATGCCTTGGGGTCCAAAAGATTGGCAATACATCAGTTGACGGCTCGGTGAGACGAACAGCCGGAATTGTACTCTTAACGCCATTATCAGACTGTGGAGCATCTGTAGTTGGTAATTCTAGGCCGCGTCTGCTGGCTGGCGACATATAATCGTCGCGCAAGTACATTAGGTCCAACAAACGTGTACATTCGAGTAAAGCTGATTTATCTATAATTTCTACACTACCATTGGCAAGAACTACTCGTCCGCGGTTGTTTAATTGCTTCTGGGCCAAAATTTTTGAAGTATCAACTGATTCGCGCTTCTTGTTGTTATACTTCGCTCTAAGTACGTAGAGGTGATCACCATCCTTGATACCAAAGAACTGGAAACTGAAAGACATCATAAGTAAAGCATTCTTGTACATAATGAATCTTTTGTCATCACCTTTGATTTCATCTTCAAGAACTTGTAAGCAATCGGTCTTATTGACTGTAACCTCTCTTACTTCAGCGTTTGCATCATGTAAATAGATTGTAATAAGTGGAGACTGAACAAACATCGATATTTTTGGTTTTCAATTTAAATTGAATTGATAAACCGCAAATTTCTCAAAATGTGATGTCAAAGTTTTTAGTACGGGATGCACAGCACAATGTGTACATCAATTTTGAAAAGAATCAAATTTTAGATTCTGAAAAGAATTTATGGAGATTTTTTTTTGCCCTTAGCCAAATTTAAGATTTTAAAATCATGGTTTCATGTGCTCCTAAGATAAACATTATGATTGAAGATAAATAAAAATCAAAAATTTCAGATTTACAAAGATTTAGACAATTTAATCCAAATAATTGGAAGAGTTAATGGCCAGATGAACCATAAACATTATACTATCCTCAATGAAAACCATATTCTATAACAAACAGTGTGGTATTGATAATTAACTCTACCCTTCTTTACAATATTGACTCACTTGCGAACATGATTGCATTTTGCAGCGAAGAATTAGTATGAAAACAAACAACAGGATTATCGCGCTATACATTCATAATGCAATCAATACTTATCTTTTCTTTACAGCCATATAGGATGTCATCGAATCATAGATCCATTGCGACTGTCATCCAAATCATCATTTAGACCACCAATAAATAATTAATTTTAGATATTCTTCATGTTTGACAAATTAATTAATTCATCCATATTAATATCCTTTTCCATTTGTAGCGAATTCTTTGCATACTCATCGCCTGAGCGGTGTAAAGCTATACCTAATACGGCTTTACTATATTCAAAAGTCATATACGTTCCTCAATTTTATTCTAAAGCGATACACAATATATCTGCTTTTCAGCTGATTATTCGATAACTACTATCAGTTTCTCAACTCTGAATCCTTGAACTCAGGTCGATATTATCGGCCATATTATTAATTCTGGCAGTTGATACTGAAAGTTCGCTTTTTTGATAACCCTATGAAAAATTATGAGTTTTAACACACTATATATCCATGGTTCGGGCTATTCTTAAATGTTTTTAATCTTATTTCGTTATTTTTAACTTCTAATATGTATCTATACAGTATTCTTTAAGCTCATATATAATTGCATGTCAATATGATTTTACTACCATTGCTTTGATTTACAAATATCGATTAGGAATAGAATGTTTGAGATTTCACGACCAGCAACACCTACTATTTTACATTGAATTTTCAATACATTGTGCTTAATATATTGTGATAGTGCCAATATCTTCATGAATGTTTTATTAATATATTCCCGTAAGCTCCGCAATTATGGAACCTCTCATCATGGATATAAAAACTCAAAATAGAAAAACCACAAAAAAAAAAAAAAAAAAAAAAAAAGGTATTGGGGCTTCCAGGCACTTCGTGCCCTCTAGCCCCGAAGATGTTTTGTCACTTTTCTGTCACTTTTCAGGGAAAAAAAATTTTTATTGTATATAAAATGAATTTTACAAAACCACCTTTACCCTTCTTTGGAAATAAGAGTAGATGTAAAGATATTCTATTGAGAGAACTTAAGAAACTACCGAATGGTCTAACATTTGTAGATTTGTTCGGTGGAAGTTTCTATATATCTCATTTGTGCCATACCGTATTCCCAGACTCAAAGATTATATGCAATGACTTCGACAACTATATGAACCGTCTCAAACATATACCAGACACAAACAAAATATTGAGTGAGTTGAAAGAAAAGATACCTATAGGTAAGATGGAACGTATACCATTAGATAAGAAAGATATTGTCAGAGAGGTTTTGAAAAAAGCAGAGTATATTGACTGGGATAGTATATCTTCTAGACTATTGTATAGTGGTTCTATAAGAGTTCATGACATTGAAACACTTATGTCAAACGTTTTATATCTTAACTATACAAAGGTTTTCAAAGAGAACATAGAAAAATATACTGAGGGTATAGAGTTTGTGAGATGTCGTTGGACAGAGTTGTATGAAAAATATAAAAACAAGGAAAATGTTTTCTTTATAGTAGACCCGCCGTTCTATAACACATATGATTTTCAATACCAAGCAGACTGGACTTTGAGAGACTCTTTAGAAACTTTAGACGTTTTACATAACCATCCATGCTTTTACTTTACATCCGATAAAAGTGGTTTGGAAACCGTTATGAGATGGTTAGAGGACATACATGACTATGATTTTAGATACGATAAGATAGAATATGAGAGAGGTCCTATAAACCGGAAAAAGTGTCATAACAAAGAAATTTTATTGGTAAGTAAATGTGGTTTGAAATAGGACTACTTGTTTTAGGTTTTTTCCATTGTGTCATTTACTTATTTGACGTGGCAGAAAGATATAGAGAATATGAAGATGAACCAATGTCTGCAAATGTTCAGCATATGTACTCGTAAGAGATATTTTTATCTAATATTAAATGGACGCACAGAACTTAGCGAATGCACAGCAACCTGGACAACCAAACCCAGAGAATATTCCAAATGAAGTTAGAATACAAACTGCAATGGCAAACTATGGTCAAGTGCCAACAGATGTACAAATGCAAACTGCCATGTCAAATGACGCTGCGTTAGGTTTGCCACCATGGTATGCAAATATGAGATGGAAAGAGTTTTATACAAACCCTGAAGTGGGATATAAACAACTCTATGCAGATGACGCGAACACAGGAGTTGACCCGGAATATGTTTTCTACCAGAGGAGAAATAGAATGTATGAGCTCCAGTTAAAAAATGCTATGGAACTCAACAGGAAACGTAAGAGACTAGGCGGACATTAGATTTTTACATATAGTAAAATGGGTTTCTTTGGAAGAATAGGAAACTTCTTTCGAAATGTTGGAAGAGGTATATGGAATGGAATAAAATCTGTCGGAAGAGGAATTTGGAACGGAGTCAAAAATATTGGTAAAAGAGTAGGTCAGTTCGTTGGTATTATACCTAAAGACCCTGAACCAGAAGAACAAGCTCCTGTTATACAACAGCCTGAACCTGCACCACAGTCTAGTTGGCAACCAAATCCAACACCTCAACCGTATTAAAATTATATTTTTACCGTTCGATAGTAGTTGTATATGAGACTAAGTTCTAAGTAAAACGCGTGGTATAATGGAACTATTCTCTTTCTTCCATCTGTTGTAAACCATACTTGAAAGTCTGAAATACTTCCACTCGGTGGTTCATATAGCTTTGTAGGTTTTTCGTAAAAGTCATTTGCCAAGCATAAAAAAGAGTTTTGTGCACCAGAAAATGAAGCATGAACTATAATAGCATCTGAGTCGAAAACATTTTCATATGTTCCATTAGGGTTTTCGACTTCATAAAAGTTCGGGTGTACTGGATATTCTGCAGGCTGATTTAACATCCTCAAAAATCTATACCATGCCAAGTTGTTATATTTTGTAGAAATATAAACGTTTTCTCCAAGGTCTTCTATTCTATTGATTTTAACAGTTGCATTTTTCCTGTCATAAACAATATCGAGATGGTATTCTCCTTCGTCAATGTTATACTGGTTTGCATATTCGATATAGATATCGTTTATTTTTTCTTGAAAAGCTTGAAGAGTTGTTTCTAAGTTTACAAGCAAATTCACTTGTAAAAGTTTTCCCTGTTCAAATTTCTCATACGTACGTTTTTCTTTGTTATAGTATCGAACTTCAAAAGCGACCGTAAATGGGAAACCATGTATGGCTTCTGAAATGAACTTCATTCTACGAAAGCCAACAGCTTTTGTGACGGATGGGTCTCTTAGCCATCTCAATGGGTAGTCAAAACGATAGCCTTCATGCTTTACGGTCTCTGTCTCAAACTTTTGACCGACATTCGTAAAAAGTTCATCTAATGGTTTAGTTGTAGCAACTCTTGAATTTTCTTTTTCTATTGAAAGCATATTTTATCTAGAATAAAAATGTCGAAAGAAACAGCGTCTATGAGAGAAATACAACACAACCGACAACTCATTTTGCAAGCTCTAAATAAGAACACAACAAACTTTTCAAACTATTCTAAGATATCTGAGTCATTGAAAGAAGGAAACTTAAAACTGACGATAAACCCAATGACAGATGAGTTTCTGTTTCAAGACAGTAAGAACCATACTGTCTGTGTAAATCCAACAAAAAGAACTTTAAACGAGAAACCTATAGATGAACTTCTTTTGAAAGCAGATATTGACAACAAAGCTGACAAAGAGTATGTCATTGAAAAAGTTCAAGAAGAACATGACAGAGCAGATGCAACATATGCAACGAAAGAACATACTCATCCTGAACTAGCAGACAAAACATATGTTGACAATAAAATGTCAAGTGAAGTGACAAGAGCTGAAAACGAATATTCTAAAAAGACTCATACACATACCATTGCAAATATTACAAACTTACAAGAAACCTTAAACAGGAAAAGTGACGTTGGACATACACATACCATTGCAAATATTACAAACTTACAAGAAACCTTAAACAGGAAAAGTGACGTTGGACATACACATACCATTGCAAATATTACAAACTTACAAGAAACCTTAAACAGGAAAAGTGACGTTGGACATACACATACCATTGCAAATATTACAAACTTACAAGAAACCTTAAACAGGAAAAGTGCCGTTGGACATACACATACATCTTCTGAAATAACAGACTTAAACGTTAGCCTTGAAAAGAAGGCAGATAAGAACCATACACACGATTTCTTCGCAACTGTTGGTATAGAAAATATTGAAGGAACGGTTGAAGAAACTGGTGGGGATGTATTAAATTGGAAACCTCCTAACTTTCCACAAGGTTTAACATCGGAGGATGACATAACGACGATGAAATACATTAGATGTAGAAATGTCTATGTCATGAAGGATGAAAACAATGTTAAATTCACTGCTCAAGATTTATATGACAACAAAGCTGACAAAACAGAGCTTCAAACGTTAAAGACAGAAATACTTCAAACACTATATCCTATAGGTTCTATTTACACGTCAATGAACTCTACCAGACCAGAAGTAGTACTTGGTCTCGGAACTTGGACTCAAATAGTCGACAGGTTTTTGTATTGTGCAAACTCTTCAAAGGAAACAGGTGGAAGTAAAACGATTTCAGGTGAAAACTTACCTGCGCATAGTCACTACGTAGATTTAAGTACATCTCAAGCAGGTTGGCATAAGCATAGATTTTGGGATGGTCAGCAATGAAAAAAGGTAAAGGATATGATGTTAAAGACAACGTTCAGTTTGCTATAAATTGTTTCTGGGTAGCACACAGGGAGAAGGAAACCATACACATCGCGTTTCAGGGTATACGCAAACAACGGGACAAAGTAAAGACTACATGCCACCTTACATGACAGTTTACGCATGGTATAGAAATGCTTAGTCGTCATTTTCAACTTCTTTAGCATATTCGTCAGGAGTTGTCTTATATTTGTTAGGAACTGTCTTTGAAAGTATACCACCTTGAACTTAACAAGTTTGAAACGAGGTCTGACAATAGTAGTTTTATCTTCTGCTTGCAGTCTGTACATTTTGCCATGTTTGCCTAAAACTTCATAATATTCTCTTGTATACTTTCTTCTATTTTTACGAACACGAATGTGAGTACCTGTCGAGTTCCCATTGTTGTCATAGTCAATAGTATTTTCATATGGGTCGCGTTTAGGTATTTCTATTTTTACTTTGTCACCTTTCTTAAGTTTGAAGCCTGGCATTCTTTCTTGTTTGTCTCTTTTGACTAAACTATTAAATATATAGTCTTTCTCTAAGTCGGGGTTGTTTTTCATTTCTTCGGGGGAGTGGTTTCCCAAACCTTTTTGTTTACGGCTATTGTAAATATTTAAAACTTGTCTCATCTTTGCCATGGAGAAGTGTCTATACTTGTCGTCATATGACATTTCATTACCTCACCACCTTGTGGTTGGTTTAAGTCTCTTAAGATTTTTATACAACTGTCAATGACACCAAGAGCAGAATGGTTTTGGTCGACAATGAAATATTGGTTTACATTTTTTGAACGCAGATAGTTTTTAATATCGTCTGATTTGAAAGAACTTTCACAGTCAGATGTCAGTTTTGTTGGATGGTATTTGTCAACAAATATTGTCAAAGCAGTTTTCACATCTAAAATATTTTTGGACCATAATGGTATGGCTTCACAGTATCTTGTGTTTTGACCAACAAATATTAGCCAGTATGGTGGTCCATCTGTTCTAACTCTCGGAATGTTTTCCAAGATATCCATAAACCAAGCATTTGGTGTTGAACTAAAGATTTTTACCATGAGTGCTTTCTTTGTTGCCTTAGAAACATACGGGTCCTTGTTTGAATTCGTCATTTTTAACCCATAAGAAATGGGTTTATTTGGCGCATTAGCAGGAGTCGCATCTAGATTTTTACCCGCAGTGGGAACACTAGCCAGAGGTGCATTTGGAATTGGAAGGAAGATTTTGAGTACATTAGGTATACTGAAAGAGAAAGCACAACCTATTATACAAACCGTACAGAAAGGTTGGGATGTAGCACGAGATGCAGCAAATCTTATTCCAAATCCTGAAACAAGAGGAAAAGTTCAAGGATGGATGGACAATGTAGGAAGACAAGCAGGAAACTACTATAACAAAGCAAATGACTACTATAACCAAGCAGGGCACTATATGGACCAAGGTGAAAGATTCTTTAACAGAGGATATAACCATGCACAACAGTGGGTAAACAACAACCAACCTCAACCGCCTCAAACGTGGGGAATGTAAAATTTTTTACTGAGATGAAATGAACAATACAGCATTGAGACAAATGGGCTCAAGATGGATTTGTCGGCTTCCAGCAGTTACACAACCACGTGTTTGTCAAGTTCTTCCTATACCTCAGGAAGTTTTAGACCGACTTAAAAAACCTCAACAACCAGTTGAAAACAAACCAAACTAAAATTTTTTACTGAGATGAAATGACCGAAGAAGTTGAAACGGTAGATTTGACACCACAAACAAAAAGTTCAGAACCATTGTCAAAACCCGTCAAAGAACTTACAGATGAAGAGAAAAATTCAATAATAGAAAGTGTGAGGTCTGGAAATACAAACCCTAACTACAAAGTCACTTTTCATAAAAATGGAACGGCAAGTATCTCAAAAAAGAAACAGACTCTCACAAATAAAATATTGAAGTCTGAAGGAATTTTCGAGACAACAGATGGAAAAGTTTACTTCACTGACCAACAGTTCATTATAGAACATCTCATTGACTTAGAGTCAAAATATTCTAAACTTTACAACAAACACAAAAAGTTGAAAGGAAAACAAAAACAAATGGCATATGACATTTATGAAGATGTTAACGACACAACTGTTCCAGCAAGTGAGGTAAAGTCAAATGAACCGAAAAGTGACGAAAAACCAATAGAAGAAGGGGAGCCAAAAACTGAAGATAAACCAAAACCAAAGGTTAGTTTCAATACTAAACCAAGTCAACCTTCATTAGCTGGTATGGGTTGGCGTCAAAGACTTATGGCAGCCGGTGGTTATGTAAAGTAAAGAAAAAACATTTTTTTATTTTTTATAAAATGCCCCCGTATAGAATGGATAGAAGGTCTGCTAAAATAAAAGCAGAGTTAGAAAGATATGGTTGGAGAGTTTCAAAGAAGTTTAAATATAGGAAGGGAAGACCCATAAAAGTCTATGACAAATTGTCTGGTCTTCGCTACGAAATGGACTTAGAAACAGCACGCGCAAATTATCCAAACAGACTAGAGAGGTTAGAAGAAGAACGTCTTATGGATATGCCTTTCGATGTTACTGAACCTCAAGTTGAAGGACACGACGGCTTTGCCAGATTCTACTGGAAACATGACGAACAATTGCATCCTTTGAGGAGGAAAAAAGGAAAAGGTGAAGACGCACATGCTCCCATGGAAAGAACAAGATATGCATATGAAAAGTATCGTGAAGTTAGAAGTAAAATTACTTCTGGTCGAACCTTTACAGTAAACTTTGACGAAGGAAAGAACAAAGAAGGCTTCATGGGTGTACTTGCTGCCATACAAGACGGAAATAAGAAAGGATACAATCTCAGACTAACCGTAACAGATTTAGATGGTCATATATACTATGCACATGGCAATGTCACAACAGCCGCACAACTTCTTGACGCTTTCAAGACTACAAAGAGAGAACAAATGGTTGACTCCGACTCAGATATTTTGAATGCAATTGAAGGAATTGCAAGCGTGAAGTTCGAATGGTTACAACCTAACCCTCAAGCAGTCAGACAACATGCTGGATACTTCCCCTTCAGAAATAAGTCTGACATTAACCTGACAAGGTATGGAATTTACAATTCAATTGAAACAATTGTCAATGAACCTTGTATTCTTACATGTCTCAGGAACTCTGGTCTTGTTACAGATGAGAAAATGAAGTATCTTGAGTCATGTGTGAAAACAAGGTACATTCTCAGAGGTCAATTGTCAAAAGTTGCACCGTTGGCAAATGTGAATATCCGAGTCAACATACCGACTGAGAAAGGTTCTTCACATGACGACTATGTTATTGACAAAGACTTACCATGGTTGAAGATTGTACTTGTCCACAACCACTTCATGTTGAACGAAAGTCTTACAAACCCATTGTTCGGAAAGGGTAAGTGCAACATTGTCAGAGCTGTTAACATTCTTTTCGAGAAAGGCTTGTTGGAACCAATTCCAGATGACAAGCTGACAGAAACTTTTGTACCAAAAGACGAAACAAATTTTTCATTGTTAGCAAGACCAAAAGTTGTTCCAGACAAAGTTATAGCACAAAAGAAGTACACAGTTCCAAAAGGAGTTGGATTGTTCGGATACCAACCTGAACCAGAAGAACTTCCAATGAGGTTGCAAGAACTTCAAGATGCTATAAACAAACT